CTGCTTCGGTCGCGGAGAACTCGAGAAGGGCGGCGCCGCTGTCTGCCGAGCCGGCAGCGCCGGTGCTGATGGTGATGGAGAGGGGAGCTCCGGGGGCGGTCAGGCGGATGCTGGCACCGTAGCGAATGTTGTAGTCGCTGCCACTCCTGCCAGGGGTGGGTGGTGCAGGAGAGGGGTGAGACATGCAGCAGGAGGGAATGAGGCCGGGGCAGGAGGAATGAGGCTGTGGTTGGCAGTGAGTGGTGGGGCTCACTGAAAGACAGCGACGGAAGCGGGAGATTGAACAGAAGGTGCAATGAGAGGTTGATGGCAATGTGGGCTAGAGGTAGAGCTTCTTACTGGAAGACAGCGAGGGAGATGACGCCTGTGGCATTCACATCGCCAGCAGCGCTGGTGATCTCCGTGCCGTTCAGCCTCGCCACCACCGCGCCTGGCCAGATGAGGAGCAAAAGAGATGAGGAGCAAGGGAGTGAGGAGCAAGAGAGGTGAGGAGCAGGAGGGATGAGGAGCAGGAGGGATGAGGAGCAGGAGGGATGAGGAGCAGGAGGGATGGAACAGGGGAGACATGCAACAGGAGGGGGGCGAGGGTTGGTTCGTGACTGAGAGGAGAGCAATACATCAGCTTTGATGAACATTCATGCCCGTCTTTGCGCAGTTCAGCCGTGCAAGCTAACAATCCAAAACCAACGAGACGGAGAATGAAGCGTTCGAGTCTGACTCACCCACGCGGGTGCCCAGACGTCCCGTGCGATTGCGCCGACCGCCGCCAAATCCGCCGCCAAACCCGCCGCCTCCACCACCACGTCCGCCTTCGAAGCCGCGTCCTCCGCCACCCCCCCGCCCACCGCCGCCGCCGCCGCCATGAGCGGCGCCTGTTGCGGTATTCGGAGACGAAGGGGGAACATCGTTAGAGGCATCAGAAACACCGATTCCGGATGCTTCACTGCAGATTAGTGGAAGGCGTTAAAGAATGCATTGGTTCGCAAGCATGCTCTTAAAACGGATATCGAAGCTGTGCTTACAGGCGACGACAAGGAGAGCCAGCAGCGACGCGGCGAGAAGGTTTCGAAGAGCTGTTGTCGTCGTCGTCATCGTTGATCGGGTAATGAGCGTTAAATGAAGAGCAATGACTCGATTAGAGGCGAAAATGAGGACGACTGTTCGACTGTATGTTCAAGCTGATGTCGGTAATCACCGTACGAGAGGAGGCAGAGGAGAATGATGAGATATCCTGAGAGATTTTTGAGCGCTTTAATAGACCTACTCCCAGGACTGCTCCTCTGCACGATAGTACGTCGCAGCCTTGAGCTAGGCTAGGCCACTAACGGGCAGGAATTGGGGAAGGCCGCTCGCAGCGCACAGGAAGACTGGTCAGCGGCAATCATGGCGGTGCGAGGAAGGCACACCGAAGCTTCCGTGAGGTACTACCGCGCTCGGACCCAGTCGGGCCCGCGGCTGGTACTTTACTGTAGGTCGGGCTGCTACAGAAGCACATTTTCGCGAAGCGCGCCAACGGGCGGGAAATACGCGAGCGAGAGTTATAACTCCGACGTCGTACCGACACAGTTACTTTGATAATTCCTAAAACAAACTGACAGGCGAGGTGGGCCTGGGGGAAGGGACACCCGCCGCCGACAGGGAAGAGACGACCTTCTCCATGAGGCGAGCCGTGGAGACAGCTGGCAGTGCTGACATGACAACGTGGCTGCATTTCCGCGATAAACGCCGAAATCTCATACTAGACATATGAGGGAGGATCCTGACTGGGGGAGGATGGTCGGTGGGCGAAGGGAAGGTATGTGATTGTGGGGCAGTGTTGGACAGCAATTGTACATGCATATTGATTCGTGCTTCATTTCTTCGAATAAGACAACCCTGCTAAACCTGACTTCAGCGCTCCCAACCTCCCAGTACGTTCAAGAATCACCTCCGTTTTCGTTCAGCCCTGGGAGCTCCGCGCGCTCCAGTCTGCATGTTATTGGCGACGAAGTGCGATTGAACGACCCCCAGAAAGTGCCTGATGAAGAACAGGGCGAACTGGTGGCGAAAAATCTGATGCGCGATGCGAAGCACGAAAACCTTCCCGCTTCAAATTGCCCGCGTCAGTGCGAATTTCGCCCCTATATCCAGCTGGTGATTCTTTCTCCCCGTGCGAAAAGTCGTGCGCCCACCCACCTGTATGTTTCGCCGTTGACCAGTCGTCGCATGGGTCGCATACCCGAATGGCTTTCTACTCGCAGCAGTAAATTCGCTGCTCTATTTGAAAGTTCCTCTTCACAAGCCGGAGAAATAGAATAGTCAGACTTTGAATTGAACGAGTTTTACAATATGCAGACTCTCTCATGCATGTCCTCATCCTTCAAATTTCATTACATTTTACAGTATATCATTGCAAAGCTGAGCACATCATCAGCAAATATTTAAATCCCAACAGGAACTATCATTCGACATGAATTTCCCACCACTTCAACCATCATTGTATCCTTTCCCACATCCTGCCATTTGTGCTCATCAACTCCCCCGATGTCCGGATCACCTGGCTTCATCACCGCATCACTACAGCAGCTGGTTGCGGGTACCAAAGTCAAACCGCAATCCACCCCATACCTCCCTCCCATGGCGTGAACCCCAACAATTCCATCCCATCCAAGAGTGAAATCCACCCAGCCAGGAGGCAGGTACGGTGAAAACACCAACACAAGCTTTCGCTCCACGTTCCTTTCCCCAGCAACACCACCTGCCTGCAGGTTAGAACCCTCCCAAGCCTGCTGTCCGAGCCTGGGTGTCTGGAACGATGAGTAGGACAGGAAGGTGGCAGGAGTTCGCCTGGAGAGAAGAAGGCGTGTGTTGATGCAGTGGGACCAGGCGAGGCCTAGGGCTGGTACGACACGCTGACCTGATGACCAGAGGATCTGTGAGTTTTCAGAGTCAGAAAGGATATCAGGGTGTGGACCAGAATACGCCACAGTCGCTGATGTTGCTGGCTCTGATTTTGATTCACCATCTTCTTCTGTTGCTGCTGCTGGAGTGACACTGGGATGTGGATTTTCGACAGAGGCAGTGACCTGGTTTGTGACCACAACAGCAATTCTGTACCGATCCGCAAGATGCTTGAGCGCAGATGCGATGCGGAAGAGCATGGTGGTGCGCTGACACATGTCGTCGCGTGAGTTGTCGAACTCCGAGCGGAACAGCGAGGCGATGGAGTCAATGATGAGAAGGCGGATGGGATGGGCTCTGGGACGAACGAGTTCCACGTGTAGCTCTCCTTCCAAACAGTGGGCTAGCTCCTGGACGGTTGGGATCTCCTTGACAAACACGTGGTCGCATGGATGGCCACGATCTTCCCCCCCGTTGATGTTGATCGCAGGTTTACAGTCACCGGTGCAGTTGATATGACATGTCTGCACGCCATTGCTGTTCATAGCACCAGGAGAATTTGATTTGAGCAGGTTTTGGAAACGGCTGCTGTTGGCAAGTTGAATGAGTCGTTTGGTGGGGAACCGACCGTCGGTGTATATGTACAATGCTGAACCCCGTGATGTGTCTGCAGCATTTCGTGATGTGGAGGATGCAAGCGACGGTTGCTGGGGTGCTTGCGGGGGTGCTTGTAGGGGTGATTGCACTGCTAGCGCCAGCTGCAAGCATAACTGGGTCTTGCCGCTCGCCGCCTCTCCCACAAGCTCGGTCATCTGGCAGGCTCGCAGGCCGCCTCTGAGAAAATGGTCCAACACGGGACACCCGAGGGACACGTAGCTGGGAACGACGGAGTGTAGCGAAATTGGGCGAAATGGCAACCCATCGGTTACAGATGATTCGTCCATGTGAAAATTGAGCTCATCATCCGAGGGGGAGCGTTCCAGGCGGAGGGGAGGTTGGCTTGGGCGTTTCTGTGGCTGACACGGTGATGGTGGGTTGGGATGGAAGTGCTGTTGTTGCGGAGACGCGGCTTCTTGCTTGGGTTGCAGAGTAGCGATCGTCGTAGGCGTCTTCTGAGAATGATTCCCGTAAGCATCATGATGGTTTGAGATGGGTTGAGCGGAGAGCTTGAGCGGTGGTGGTGGTGGTGGCTGGTCTAGGTGTGGAGGTTGTTGTTGCGGTGAAAAGGGTTCTTGTTTGGGTTGCAGAGAAACGAGATTCGGAGCGTCACGATGGTCACGATGGTAAGGGAGAGGCTGCGGCTGAGCGGAGAGCTTGAGTGGTGTTAGTGATGAGCGTGGCTGGTCCAAATGTGCGTTTGGCTGGGGAGACGCGACGCCAGCTTGATTGCGTTGCGGGACGGCGATCGCAGAAGCGTCGTGGCAAGGAAGGGGGTGCGAGGAGACGTTGCACGGTCGAGAGGGCGATGGACGCGCGTGATGAATTGGCGGGTTCTGCTGCAAAGCCATTCTGGCTGGATCGGGTTGGAGGGGGACGGCATCTTGGGATAAGGTACCATCATAGCTCGGGATGAGAAGTTGACGGCGTGACATAACGCAGAGGTAGCAGGCTACGCAGGAATTTCCTTCGAACAAGACAATCAGCAATCGTCTGCTCGTAAGCTTGTCGCTTCTCGCGAGGCGAGTTACTTGCTCAGGTCCATAGTGATTGCTACCCTTGCAGGTCGCCGCAGCGATTCAGCCGCGAGTAAGCGAGAGGAAGCAAAGAAAGTGCTAGGCAGCGCGCCTTGATTACCAAACACAAATCCCAAGGCGAAGCAGTCTCAAGGGCCGCATCACGGTATTTTCAAGACTGGCGGGACCATGCTGGGCGGGTACATTTCTCGAGGTTGGGATCTGTCAAACCAGAAAACTCGGGAAACCAGATGGGTGGCAGACGGTGCTTATGTCACCCACAAACGATACGTCGGGGTATGTCCTACGGTTGATCATTCCAGAACAATATGTTCGACTGCCTTGTATCCAAACTCATGTTCATCCACAAATGTGTAAACAGGCACAAAAGGTTGCCAGGACACTGGACAAAACTGGTTACTGTACAAAGACAAGTCCCACTACAATCTATGCTGCCATCAACCCACGAAGCCCCTCAAGAAAAGAAAAGACCGCATTATCACCCACAGAGGAACACCCCTCCTCCAGCTGCTGAGTATCCACCTTGCAAGCTCCCTCGTTCTTGCGGCACCACTTGGACTGCCTCAGCTCCTCAGCCGCCTCCCTCCACTGGAATGATGAGGCCTTCTCAATGGTTGGATCGAACTGAGCTCCCAGACGACTCTTGCCTGAGAAAACAGGTACACAATCATACAGAACCTCATTGATACATAGATTTTGCAAACAAGTTTTGAAGGACACCAGAACCCAATATGGTGCATGGTGTGCACTATCGGACATGCACAAAACAATTCAGAACCACAAATTGCAAACGCACCGTGGGTGAAGGCAACATCAGCGAAGATGGCCTGGACGTTGCAGCAGAAGTTGTCAAGAGCCTTCACACTCTCCCCCGCACGCATCAGGTAGCGCCGCGCATCAAACGCCAGGAGCGTGTTGATCTGCAGGTCATTCAGGCACGCCTCCCCGCTGTACAGCTGCATCCAGAGAAGCACAAAAGGGGAAAAAACACGGAGGCACACATGATAGATTTGGTAATGCACATTGCCCCAAGCTTGAAGAAGCATGCCCAAGTGTTGCAAAAAAACGAGTGAAGCTGATGGGAGAACAGCTGCTGACCTTGTCGTAATCTGCGAGGATGGTGGAGATCTCGCGCATGCGCTCATCGGACTTGTCATCGAGGTTGTAGCCGACACCGATGGCACGGTAGCCAAGGCGGCTGTCGTACGCACAGCGGCTGCGCCCCTCACTGCGCTCCATCACCGTCGTTGTCGCGGGCACACACGTCAGACTGTTGGCGGGGAGCCACGATTCTCCCACCTGGAAAAAAGAGAGGAAAAAAGAACAAACAGATGAGCATCGTTGGTAAAGGACAGCTGTGGAGCATCCACCCTCATGGCCCTGGGTTTAGAACGTGGCAGCCAGCCAGTCAAACACGCCTCACCTTGCGGCTGCCACTGACCGCAGCAGTGGGGCAGCCCTCCTCCATGGCCCGGGTGTCCGCCCGGCACACCTCCTCATGCTTGCGGCACCACTTGGAGCGTCTCAACTCCTCTGCTGCCTCCTTGTACTGCGAGCTCAGCGCCCTCTCTATCGCCGGACTGAACTGCGCTCCCAGCCGCGTCTTGGCTGAAAAGGTGAGAAAATATAGAGGGGTGAGGACACAGCAAGGCTTGTACGCACAAGAGTTGGAATGTGGAAGGAGGCCAGTTGGCAGGTCAGTTGGCAGACAGGGCCACGCTATATGCTTTGCCAGTGAGAGGCTCACCGTGGGTGAAGGCGATATCAGCAAAGATGGACTGCACGTTGCAGCAGAAGCTGTTGAAGTTCTCAATGCGCTCCTTGGCGCGGATAAGGTAGCGCCGCGCGTCAAACGCCAGCAGCGCGTTGATCTGTACGTCGTTCAGACACTCCTCCCCGCGGTACAGCTGCCGGGATAAACAAACAGACATCACAGGGAGGAATTTTCTGCGTCAATTCATAAGTTGACTCAACAAACGCCAGCAGTGCGTGCATCTGCACGTCGTTCAGACACTCCTCGCCTCAGTACAGCTGCCGGGAATAAACGCACACCACAGGAGGGAATGAGTTTTTAGACTGCCCCCAAAACACGCCACAGGAGGAAGTGAAACTGTCGACAGAAAGCTGCAAAAAGGCGGACAAGTGTGGTGTGGACAAATTTGAGACAAAGAACCTGAGTTACCTTGTCAAAGTCAGCAACAACGGTGGAGATCTCGCGCATGCGCTCGTCGGACTTGTCATCGAGGTTGTAGCCGACGCCGACGGCGCGGTAGCCAAGGCGGCTGTCGTACGCACAGCGGCTGCGCCCCTCACTGCGCTCCATCACCGTTGTCGTCGCCGGCACGCATGTCAGACTGTCCGCAGGCAGCCATGATGCGCTCGCCTGGAAGAAGAACAGAAACAAGAATCAGTGCGAGAACAAAAACTAGTCGCCGGCACACACGTCAGACTGTCCAGAGGCAGCCATGATGCACTCGCCTGGCCACGAGCACGGGAGGGAACCCGAACATGAAACCAGGTGCAATGCTTCAGATGCGTGGACAAACACGAAACTCAAAGTCAATCAGGTATAATCATTCTTATGAAAACAAGTTACGTAATACTATTCGCCTTCCGTGCGTCTCGAAATAGTATGGAAAAAGAAATAGGGACGCCTCATGAGCCATACGAGACGTGTAACGATCAACTAATGAGCGCGCGGTGCTGGTCGACTATTGAGGGAGCAGTCAAATAGCTAGACGTCGTGATGGCGTCGGATACGTCGTAGAACGTTTTGCTCAGACTTACAAACGGAACGGCCAGAAGAAAGAGAGCAAGAAGACCCAAAGCGACCAATCCGGAAGAGCGAGCCATCAGGGAGGACTGGCGGAAAAGCAGGAGCGGAAGGACAGTAGCAGCTAGAGGGGAAAACAGGAAAAAAGACACACGGGAATTGCGATGGAAGAGGAAGAGCGAGCATTAGTACGCACGCACCGCACTAGGAGCTGCTGGTGGCGAAGACGAACGCGGCTCGGGCGGAAAATCGGGTTGCGAACAACGCTCGAGAACACTCTTTCAGCCATCAGGCAGCTGCTCCTCGGAATTAAAGACACCACGCGTCAGCAAGCATGACGACGCTCCTCGCAGTTGATAATTATCATTTCTGACGCAGCAGCTGTTCCCTCGTTACCTCGTTAATAACTACAGGGAAGCATCCTGACACTTAGGATGCATGCAGGCTGACACATGGGACGATACAAGAATGGCGCTCAAAAGAATCTATGTTATTTTGGGGAACAAATAGTAGAAGTCACAAGCAGATCCCCGTTATTGGTGGTGTTGTGACCGGACATATTTCAGAGTCATAACTAAACAGTATTTCGGTGTAGATCTAAAATGTTTGGGAGGGTGAAAGACTGGGCAGGTGTTGGTTTGTTCTGGTCAAAGATGAATCAGCAAGCGAAGTGCTCGACGCATTCTGCCCGAGCCTGACTACCTGACCTCGTCACCAGTCATTGGGTTCGGTTTGCTTTTGGATGAGGCAAAGTGAGAGTTCGTCAGCACGACCTGGGTGTCTCCGAGGCCCAAAGGAGTCTTCATAAGCATTACGCTTAGCTGCTTGCTTCCGTGCCAACTGTGCATTCACTTTCAAATTTGACACTTCAAACTAGCTCGGAGTCTGGTTCGGCCATACGTAAAATGAAGTCAGGGCCGCCGCGCCATGCAACCAGGGCAACATTTCTATCTGACCTGTAGGGCCCGAACCGAGTCCCTGACCTGACATCTAGGTACAACTCTCAATCACACTTGTCTACCTGCTTCAGCTTTCTCGTAAGCTTTACAAACTCTGGGAACGTCGTCGCTCCCTCGAGATCCCTCTTCAGTTTCACGATTCAATAGAGCGGTAGGACCTTGCCTATTCTAGTTTTCTTTACTGTACTAAGCAGCACGTTTAGAGTCCCTCTACCGCGTGAAGTAAGGTCTGCCTATTAGCTGTTGAAACCCAGGCGAGCAATCTAAATCTGAGTCAGTCAGGAAGCCAGATTACTTCGCGAGCATTCTTTCTTTTTCTTATCGTGTAGTTTGTTCCACTATCGTCTTTTCTCATGTTGCTTTCGTAATCTACTTTACAGCAACAGCACGATGAATCGCGGCTTTAATCAACCGCATCAAAGGCCGCCTAGAGTTCAGCGGGATGGGAGAATTGACACGACGACGCCACTTCCTGGTTCCACTGGGAATGCTGTGAACAGCACAGGCAATAACGGAACCACCGACCCTAACTCTTGGCCGGGAGGCCAGAGCAACTTTAATCTTTCATACCAAGGAACGTCAAACCTTAATACCCCGCTAGGACTTCGAGCAAGTTCCAGTAATTTCGTAGCGAATACCATGCAAGCGGTTGGACCGACGGGCGTTAGTGGCTTGGTTCCGGGAAGTTACACTTTATCCCCGTTTCTGGGTGATAGGCCTCCCGGCAGCAGCTATCAAGCCACCTCAGATGCCTTGCCCTTGCAGCATGTCCAAGCGGAACCAATTAACCAGCCTCAAATCGCTTCGTTACCAACCATGGATTCCTTTGCATTTGCAGGCCCTCCAGCAATTCCGCTAGGACAGAATATTATCCAGACAGGCTTCGGTGGTTCTAGCATGAGTTTTAATGGACTCCAGGATCCAGGAGTGGAAGGTGTTAATCCCATGGAAGGAGGTTCTGAGTTTAAACTCTATAGCGGGGATGACTCTCTGAATCAGTCTCAGCCCGGCAATAACATCTTCGAGGATGACGCTGTTTTCATGGTCAACATGTTTCTGGGAGGAGGAGGCGGTATGGATGGAGAGACTGGAGCGGGTGCTGAGGCTGCTGGTTTGGATGCTGGGATGTTTGGTTTGGCCGAGCCTCTCCTTCCAGGGTTTTCAGGGTTGGAACCAATGGAAGGGGTCACGTTCAGGTTGGACGGGCAGGGGGTTATGGATCCAGGAACGAACCAGGTTCCTTCGTTTGACTCTCATGGTAGTAGCCAACTACAGTTTTCAGCATTTGATGAGAAACCGATACATTCTATAACGGGAGCCGGCGAGACATGGGAACAGAATGTAGGTTTAAGGGGTCACGTGGAACGGAGGGAAGGTGGAAGGGATGCGATGGAGGAGACACGGCAGCATTATGGGCAGCAGGAGCGAGAGCAAGAAGAACGGGAGCAACAAAGGAATCTGGAACAGGAGAGGGAGTTGGAGAAGCAGAGGGAGTTGGAGAAACAGAAGCAGCAGAGGAAGTTGGAACAGCAGAAGGAGCTGGAGGAACAGAGGCAACTGGAGCTTGAGAAACAGGAGAAGCAGAGGAAGTTGGATCAGCAGAGGGAGCTTGAGATACAGCGGCAGAGGGAGTTGGAGAAACAGCGGCTGGAGAAACAGGAGCAACAGAGGGCGCTAGAGAAACAGAGGTTGAGGGATTTGGAGAAACAGCGGCAATTGGAACTGCAGAAAAAGGAGCAGCAGAGGAAGCTGGAGCTGCAGAGGGTGTTGGAGGAACAGAAGGAGTTGGAGAAACAGAGGCAGTTGGAGTTGGAGAAACAGGAGCAGCAAAGGAAGCTGGAGCAGCAGAGGGAGATGGAGCAGCAGAGGGAGATGGAGAAACAGAGGCAGAGGGAGCTGGAGAAGAAGCGGCAAGTGGAGCTGGAGAAACAGGAGCAGGAGAGGAAGTTGGAGCAGCAGAGAGAGTTGGAGGAACAGAGGCAGAGGGAGTTTGAAAAACAAGAGCTGCAAAGGAAGCTGGAGCAGCAGCGGGTGTTGGAGGAACAGAAGAAAAGGGAGTTGGAGAAACAGGAGCAGCAAAAGAAGTTGGAGCAGCAGAGGGAGCTGGAGAAACAGCGGCAATTGGAGCTTGAGAAACAGGAACAGCAGAGGAAGCTGGAGCAGCAGAGGGTGTTGGAGGAGCAGAGGGTGTTGGAGGAGCAGAGGCAAAGGGAGTTGGAAAAACAGGAGCAGGAGAGGAAACTGGAGCAGCAGAGGGAGCTGGAGAAACAGAGGCAGAGGGAGTTAGAGAAACAACGGCAATTGGAGCTGGAGAAACAGGAACAGTTGAGGAAGCTGGAGCAGCAAAGGGAGTTGGAGAGACAGCAACTGGAGCAGGAGAGGAAGTTGGAGCAGCAAAAGCAGTTGGAGGAACAGAGGCAGAGGGAGTTGGAGCAGCAGAGGGAGCTGGAGAAGCAGAGGCAGAAGGAGTTAGAGAAGCAACGGCAATTGGAGCTGGAGAAACAGGAACAGCTGAGGAAGGTGGAGCAGCAGAGGGAGTTGGAGAAACAGCAGCAATTGGAGCTGGAGAAACAGGAGCAGGAGAGGAAGCTGGAGCAGCAAAAGCAATTGGAGGAACAGAGGCAGAAGGAGTTGGAGAAGCAGAGGGAGCTAGAGAAACAAAGGCAGAAGGAGTTGGAGAAACAGCAGCAATTGGAACTGGAGAAACAGGAACAGCAGCGAAAGCAGGAGAAACAGAGGGAGCTTGTGGAAAAGGAGCAGCAGAGAGATTTAGAAAAACAAAGAAAAGAGGTTGTTGAGGTGAGAGCGGAAGAGGGGTTTGATGAAGCGGCGAGAGAAGAGAAAGATACTGACTTTGGAAGGGAGGGGTATGGTGGGGATGAGGAGGAGTGGCCTGAGGAGAACAGTGTGCATGAGGAGGGTAAGGCGAAGATAAAGCTTCTGACTGCTCTTGACAAGGAACCGGTGCCGCTGTCTCGGCAGGACGAAAAGGAGGAAGCAAACGCGAAGGGAGCTGGGAGGGGGTTTACGGATGAGGAGGAAAAGGTTCGGGTTGAGTCTGGCCCACTGCAACGTGCAGAGGAGGAGGAACAGGTGGAAGAGGAGGAAGAGGAGGAGGAAGAGGAGGAGGATGATATAGAGGACTGGGTGTGTGGCAAGGAGAATCGATATCGGAGATTGAGTGCTGAAGATAAGAAGTTGGAGGAGCAGCAGACGAGGGGTGGTGGCGAGAGTGGGGCAAGGAGGGGCAAGAGAGAGGGGGTGTGGGGCGAGGAGAGAGCAGGGAGGAGAAAGAAGCCCAAGAGAAGGAAGCTGGCGGAGTGGTTGCCAACGCAGACAGTGACAGGTGGGGAGCAGGAGGGGGGAAAGGTAGATGAGGTTGGTAGTGGTGACGCGCGTCAGCCTTGCAATGTGGAAGAGGGAGAGGAGGAGTCTGCTGGTGAGGTGCGGCCAGCACACGAGGTGGATGAAAAAGGGCCTCTAGATGCTGCTTCTGAGGTGCCCCTGAAGGATATAGGGCATGAGAGACATAAGCAGGCAGAAGAGGAAGAGGAGTGTGATGCTGGGGTACTCAAGGAATCAGCTGTTGAGGAGGACAAGGAGGGGCAGGTGGATCCAGCAGCGGTGTGTGTTTCTGCTTCTCAGGAGCCACAGATTGGGCAAGGGGAAGTGGTGGAGGAGTGTGTTGCTGGAGTGCTTAAGGAATCAGCTGTTGAGGAGGACAAGGAGGGCCAGGTGGATCCAGCAGCGGTGTGTGTTACTGAGGCGAATCAAACTTGCCAGGTGAGGGAAGAGGCAGAGGCGACGGTGGAAGGACAAGAAGGGAAAGAGGAGAAGGAAAGAGAGGAGGAGGTGGTGGAAAAGGCGGAGTTGAATGTTTCTGGGGGAGAGAAGAACGGTATATCGCTGCTGCCACAGCAACAGCAGGAGGGGCAGCAGCGGCGGACGGGGCAGGAGGAGCAGGAGCTTGAGAAGCAGGAGCAGGAGGAGGGTCAGGAGGAGGAGCAGCAGCAGCAGCAGGAGCAGGAACAGGAGCAAGAGCAGGAGGGGAAGCAACATCAGTGGAAGCAGGAGGAGGCAGAGGAACGGCAGCAGGAGCAACAGCAGGTGGAAGTGGAAGGGGATAAGGAGCAGCAGCAGCAGCAGCAGCAGCAGCAGCAGCAGCAACAACAACAGCACCAGGGGCAGGAGCAGGAGGAGCAGCAGTTGCAGGAGGAAAAGGAGGAGCACCAGGAGATTGAGGAATGTGGAGAGGCAAAGGAGCGAGAGCAGGAGCAGAGGACAAAGGAAGGCAAGAAGGCGCGGGAGGTGGGAACTCAAGGCACACCTTCTGTTGCTGCTGCCGCTGCTGCAGCACCTTCTGTTGCTGCTGTTGCTGCTGTTGCTGCTGTTGCTGCTGTTGCTGCTGCAGCACCTTCTGTTGCTGCTGTTGCTGCTGTTGCTGCTGCAGCACCTTCTGTCGCTGCTGCCGCTGCTGCCGAGGCAGAAAGTGTGCCTGTAGCACAGCCAGCGGCAGTGGACAAGAAGCGGAAGCGCAGCGAAGTGTTTGTGGAGGCTGATGAAGACGCTGTTGCTGTTGAGAAGTCCTGTCCGCCTCCTGAACCATCTGCCGCTCCTGAATCATCTGTTGCTTCTGAGCCGTCTGCTGCCCCTGAAGCGCCTGCTGCCCCTGAAGCGCCTGCTGCCCCTGAAGCATCTGCTGTTCTTGATACATGTGGAGCTCCCGCTCTTGGATCACCTGTTGGGGAAAGGGAGGACGAGGGAAGGGAGGGAAGGGAGGGAATTGAGAAGGAGAGTGAAAGGGATGTTGGAGGGATGGCGGAGAGCGATAAGGAGAGGAGGAGAGTGCAAGGCAGTGAAGTGAATGTGAGGGAAGATGAGAGAAGAGCGGAGTGGAGAAGGGAGGAGGAGAGAGAGGAGGGGAAGGCAGACGAGTTAAGTGAAGAGGGGCGCGAGGAGAATGGGAGGGAAGAGGGAGGAAGCGAAGAGGAGGGGAGAGATGAGGGGAAAGACGAGGAGGTGGGAGAAGAGGACGGGAAAGAAGAGGAGGGGAGAGAAGAAGAGAGAAGAGATGAGGAGGTGCAAGAGGAGGAGTGGAAAGAGGAGGGACGGGAACTGGTACACGGGGCGAGAGTGTACAAGAGAAGGGCGAAAGGGGAAAAGGTTGGCAAGCAAGTTGGACGTGGCAGGAGGAGCAGAGAGGCAGAAACGATGGGAGAGTGGGAGAGGAGGGTGGAGACTGCAGGAAAGAGGGACCGTGAGGGAAAGGAGAGTGGGCAGGAGATGAAAGAATCTGCAGCAGCAGGAGCAGCAGCAGCAGCAGTCCAGGCTCCCTCAGCACAGCCTTCACCAGTACTACCTCCCCCTCTGGATGGACCAGCGGGTTTGTCTCTTGTGCTGGCCTTGTCTGCTTTGGATGTGGTGCTGGGGAAGGGGCGGTCGGGGGGGGCGAGGGAACAGGGGGAGAAAGCCGGGAGGGGCATTCAGGTGGGGGATAGTGGGAGGAGCGGGAGGAGTAGGAGGAGTGGGAGGAGTGGGAAGAACGAGAAGGGGAGGAGGCATGAGCGGGGTGGGCTGAAAGAGCAGCGAGCAAGGAGTGAAGGGGTGGCAAGGAGTAGGCGTGGAGGGAAGAGGAGGACGAGGGCGTGGGAGGAGGAGGAGGAGGAGGAGGAGGAAGAGGAGGAGGAGGAGGAGGAGGAGGACGAGGAGGAGGAGGAGGAGGAGGAGGTGGGGGATGAGGAGGAAGGGAATGAGAAGGATAGGGCTGCAGACGGGGAGGGGGGTGAAGTAGAGAAGGGGGGTGAATCAGAGGAGGTAGAGAAGGGGACTGCATTGGAGGAGGGGCTTGAAGTAGAGAAGGAAGGGACTGAGGAAGCGGAGGAGGGAGGTGAGTCAGAAAAGGGGGCAGAAAGGGCAGAGGAGGAGGCTGTTACTGACATGGCTGGAAGGGGTGAGATGGCCACTGCTGAACCGCCAGGAAATCAAATGACTGATGTTGATACAGCTGTTGCAGTCAAAACGTTTGGGAACGTTGAAATGGATGCGGCGGACAAGACCGAGGGAGGAGGGAAAGGCAGCAGTGGTGAGGTGCGAGGGAAGGAGGGAGAGGGCGTGGAGGCAGTTGTTGTTAGGGATGGGAGTGAGGGGTGGGTTGAGGGGCGTGGCGAGGAGGAGGGTCCAAAGGATGCAGCAGGGGTGGAAGTGCAAGAGGAGGGGGTGGAAGAGAACGAGGTGAAAGAGGAGGTGGAAGGGGAGGTGGAAGGGGAGGTGGAAGGGGAGGTGGAAGGGGAGGTGGAAGAGGAGGTGGAAGAGGAGGTGGAAGAGGAGGGGGAAGAGGAGGTGGAAGAGGAGGGGGTGGAAGAGAAGGAGGTGAAAGAGGAGAAGGAAAAGGAGGAGGAGAAGGAGAGGGTGGAAGAGAAGGAGGTGAAAGCGGAGGTGGAAGAGAAACAGGAGAAAGAGGAGGAGGTGAAAGAGGAGGTGGAAGAGGAGGAGGTACAAGAAGTGGAGCATGGGAAGAAGAGGAGGAAAGGGCACAAAAGAGAGGAGAGAAGTGTGGAGAAGGAGAGAGAGGAGAGAAGTGTGGAGAAGGAGAGAGAGGAGAAGAACGAGGAAGAGAAAGAGGAAGTGGGAAATAAAAGGGAAGAAGGGGACGGGGACGAAGAACGGAAACAGGAAGGCGACGTGGAAGAGAAAGCGAAAGAGAATAGGGAAGGGGAAGCGGAAGACGAAGGGGAAGAGAAAGAGGAAGTGAAAGGGGAAATGGGAGAGGAAGAGTCGAGGAGGGGAACTGCCATTGAGGAGACTCGAGTGAACGAGAGAGATACGCCAGGAGTGGGCGAAGTGAGAGACAGCAGTGAAGGCATGGTTGGAGAGGGTAGTGCGAAGGTAGAGAGGGAGGGGGATGGTACGGTGGGCGGAAAGGTGGGTGGAGATGCAGCAGAGGAAGAGGCAGGTTCAGAAGGGACTGGTGAGGGAGCGGATGTTGTGGAAGTGCAGACAGAGGGAGTGGGAGCAGGGATGGAGGAGGAGGTTGGGGTGCAAAACGCAACAAGAGAGGCAGTGGAATCGGGTGAGGAAGGAATGGCACAAGGGGCAGGTGAGGAAGCTGATGTGGTGGAGGTAGAGACAGAGAGAGCGGATTCTCAAGTGCAGGAACGTGGGTTGTGGAGATCGAGGACGGAGGCAGAGGCGTCAGCAGGGGCAGATGGAGAAGCAGTGGGAAGGGCGGGTGAGGGAGAAGCAGTGGAAGGGGCAGGTGAGGAAGCTGATGTGGTGGAAGTGCGTTTGGAGGGAAGAGAGGCAAGAGAGACGCAAGGAGGGGAGGTGGACTTAACAGAAGCAGTGGTGGAGGAACAAGGGACAGAATCAGGAGAGGCAGAGGTGCAGGAAGTGGGATTGGAGTCTACAGAGGCAATGAGAAGAGCAGTTGAGTCAGGTGAAGAGGTTGCAGTGGAGGAGACAGGCGGAGATGCAGTTGTGGTGGAAGTGTGGGATGAGAATGAGATGGAGGAAGTGGGATTGGAGTTCACAGGGGAAAGGAGAGGAGCAGAAGAGTCAGGTGAAGAGGAGAATGCAGTGGAAGAGAGAGACGGAGATGCAGATGTGGTGGAAGTGCGGGATGAGAATGAGAAGAAAGAGGGGATGGAATCACGAGAAGCGGGTGGGCAGGAAGTGGAAGGAGAGGCAGCAGAAGGAGGGACAAGCGGAGATGCAGATGTGGTGGAAGTGCGGGATGAGAATGAGAGGGATGAAGGGATGGAATCACAAGAAGCAGACGGGCAGGAAGTGGAAGGAGAGGCAACAGAAGCAGAAGCAGAAGCTGCAGCAGCAGCAGCAGCAGCAGGAGATGCAACAGCAGAGGCAGCAGAGGGGGCAGCAGGAGGGGGCGATGGTGGTGGGGAAGTAGCAGAGGGAGCGAGGAAGAGGAGGAGAGCGCGGCCGTTGATGAGGCGAGTACAGTCTGTCACTGACGCTGCTGCTACAGCAGTGCAGGCAAGGCCTAAAGGTGTGCATGCTGCTAGGGATATGCACACAGCCGCTCTGGGGGTGGGTGTTGCTGAAGCTCGTTCTGATGGGGATGATGGTTCTTCTGATCGTGGTGCTCGTGATTCGTCCAGTGATGGTGGGCATGATGCAAGTGATTCATCTCCTTATCGTGATGGTCGTAAAGCGAGTGGTTCGTCCGACCACGATGCTAAGGATGGTGATGGTGGTGGTGGCGGTGCTACTGGTGGGGATAGGCGTGATGCTGCAGTGGCTGCTGCATCCTGCCATGCTCCAGCTGATTCCGATTCAACAGCATCACATGGTGCTGCTGATGGTGTTGGTTCTGATGGTGGCGCTGGTGGTAGTGATGCAGCTACTGAGACGGATTCTCCTGTGGCTCTCTCTCCGTCTCCCTCTCTGTCCCCACCTCCTTCCCCAACGCCATCAACATCACCGTTAGCATCGCTATCAGAATCAAAATCCGCGTCTGCATCACCATCACCATCACCATCACCATCAGTGTCAGCGTCTCGGTCCCCATCTCCACCTCACATTCGCCCGGCCAGAGCACGGAAATTGAAGGCAGCAGCAAAAGCAGAAGCAGAAGCAGGGGAAGCAGCAGGAGCTGTGTCAGCAGCAGTAGTGAGGAAAGCAGCAGCAGAGCGCACACCACCGCTTGAACCCACCGAAACACCAGCACCTGTAACAGTCCCAGAACCAAAACCGGAACCAAGCTCTCCCATGCATCTCTCCCCCAAGCCTAAGCCGCTGCTATTCTGCCTGGGAAGCTTTGAAGCAGGCGACATAGTCTGGGCCAAGTCAGGGCGAAAGAAAGACCCGTGGTGGCCGGCCCGTGTGGTAGACCCGATTTATGATGCCCCGGATGCAGTCAGGAGTGCCGCTGAAGCCGACCGGCTGTGTGTCATGTTTTTTGGGCCGTCGCTTAGCAAAAAGCGCGACCGGGACTACTCGTGGGTGCCCGAGGGGAGCATTGTGCCGTTTCTGGATTTTTTAGTTAAGTATGAGAGCCAGCCGCTGACGGCGAGGAATCGGCCGAAGGAGTTTCGGAAGGCGGTGGAGGAGGCTGTGTTGGAGAGTGAAGGGATGGTGGGGTGTGATGAGATGGAGGGAGGCGGGGGAGAGGAAGAGGGAGGGGATGGAGAAGAGGGAGGTGCGGGTATGATGAGGGATGGTGAGGAGGATTGGCAGGAGGGGAATAAGCTTGGTGCAAGTGCTGCTGCTGCTGCTGCTGCTGCTGATGGTGCTGCTGCTGGTGGTGGTGCTGGTGGTGCTGCTGCAGATGCTGCTGCTGCTCCTAGCTGCCGAAAAGGAGGCAGCCGGTCAGGTGGGTTGGTGGGGGCAGCGAAGGGAGGGGCAGCAGCAGCGGAACTAGCAGGTGGAGCGAGAGAGGGCATGATGTGTGTGGGGTGCCGGATCATGCCGGGGGTGATTGGCCGCCCAACTCGCACACTGGATGACCTCTTTGCGCCAGGAGGGGGTGGGGGTGGGAAAGGGAGAAAGAAAGGGGAGGGCAGCGGAGGGGATTCTTCTGGCGAGAGTGACTGGGATGAGGGGGTGGGTAAGAAGCGGCGGAGGGGGAGGGGCGGCAGTGGGGGCAGTAGCAGGAAAAGGCAGGTGGTGGGGAGTGGAGAGGGTGGGGATGGATGGGAGGATAAGGAGACTGGGGTGGAGGAAGAGGGGAGGAGGAGCAGTGGGAGGGGGAGAGGGAGGGGGAGGGGCAGAGGAAGGGGGAGGCCGGAGAAGGGGAGGAATGGCGGGTGGGTGTGGGGGATGAGTAAGAAGCGGAGCAGGAGCCTCGGAGCGAGCCGACAGGGCAAAGCAGGTCAGGGTGGCAAGAGAGGTGGTAGGAGTGACAGTGCCGCCGCTGACAGTGGTGGGGAGAGTGCTGATGACAGTGCTGCTGCTGGCGCTGGTGCTAGCGCTGGTGCTGCCTGTGGGAATGCCCGTGCCTCTGGTTCCCGCGCTGCTGGTGCCTCTGCTGCTCGTTCTTCTGCAGCAGGCGCTACGCTAGAAGAAAGCGCAGCAGGCAGCAGCTACGCGCACAGGCTAGTAGACGAATTGCTAGACTCAGTCCCCCTCTGCATCCAGTGCCGCAAGCTCTTCCAATCGCATCAGTTCTGCCCTCTCTGCCTGCTCGTCTGGTTACCCAACGAGAAGGGCGATTTCGCCCACTGCGACCGCTGCCAGCTGTGGGTGCATGCGGAGTGCGACGGGATCTCTAGGCAGCGGTTGAGTGCGATAAAGAACTATGCGGTGTATCTGTGCCCTACCTGCCGGCAGACCACGGCGGTGGAGGAGAGGGAGAAGAGGGAGAGGAAGGAGAGGAGGGGGAGGGAGAAGGAGGAGAGGGAGGAGAGGGAGGAGAGGGGGAGGAAGGAGCGGGAGGAGAGGGAGAAGAGGGTGAGGGAGGCTGCTCAGGCTGCTGCTGCTGCGTCTGCTGCTGCCGCTGCTGCTCGAATTAAGGAGGAGGGGAGAGATGCAGAGAGGGGCACCGCGGGACGGTCTGGGATGGAAGTGATAACAGGGATGGGGAGGGGGTTCAGCTTGGGTGGTGCGTGCTTGCGGATAGATGAGGTGAAACGGGAGGGCCTGCATGTTTGTCGCCTCGACAGGGATGGGAGTGGGGATCGGGATCGGGATGGGGATGGGGATGGGGATGGGGATCAGGATGAGGAGGATGAGGATAGGGATGAGGGTGAGGGAGGGGGTGGGGATGGGTCAAATGATGGTGGTGGGCAGGGGCGGAAAGGAGGAGGTGGTAGAGGTAGAGAGAAGAAAGAATGGGATGAGAAGGCAGTGGAGATGAAGGGAGACGCGGATGGGAATGGATACTTGTCAACTAAGGAGGCTCCGCACAGAGCTTCCCCACAGTCGGATTCACCTGAGGATTCCCCTGACGATTCACCTGGCACTCCATCGTCCTCACCTGAGGCAGAAGCGGAAGGGGACAACAAGATAGCAGCGGCGCCACCCATCCCCATCCCTGTAGCCCACCCACCTGTGCCCGTCACATGTGCATCTTACAAGGGCATCTACCTCCCTTCTCTGCACCTCGTGCAGTGCTGCTGCCGCTCCTGCCGGCCTAAGACCAAGGCCGGCAGCAGCAAGAGCAGTGCTGCTGCTGCCGCTGGTGGGAGGAAGGAAGGAGGAGGAGGGGAGGTGGGAGGAGCAGCAGGGGCCGCAATGATGGCGCTGAGTGAGTTTGAGAAGCATGCGCAGTGCCGCTCCAAGAAATGGAAATCGTCTGTGTTGCTGCAGGGCGCTGAGAAGAAAACCACCCTCTTTGCCTGGGTAAGCGATTTGTTTGTGCTTCCAGATTCTGCTGCATACTTACGTGGGGCCTTACTTTCGACTAGGCATTTCCTGCTCACTCCCTCCCTCATTTCACTCATCCACCCCACGTCTCCCCTCCGTCTTCACCCTCGGTTTCCTTTTCTTTCACCCGCAGCTCCAGGCATCTCACGAGGTGGGAGTCAAAGGCCTCGCATTCTACAAGGCCCCTCCTCCTCACCTACTCCCTCTCCTTGCTGTTTCCCCTCCTCTCCCTCCCCTCAGCTCCAGGCATCCCACGAGGCGGGAATCAGAGGCCTCTTGTTCTATGAGGACCCTCCGCCTCGCAGCCGCCCGGGGAACCGGCAGCAGGGAATCATATCCACACTGCGCAGCGCGGGCGGCAGCAGCGCGGTCGCAGCCGGAATCGGAGGAGTAGGAGTGGGTGCAATGAGAGGCAGAGCCGGTGTGAAAGGGTCAATGGATCCCAGGGGGGGTGTGGCATGGCTGGAAAAGGCTTTAAGTGAGCCGTACGAGGGGGTGGAGTACAAATGGACGTCGGAACGCTGTGCTGTGTGCAACAGCGATGAGGACTCGGATGCCAGTCGCATGTTGGTGTGTGTCAAGTGCGAGATGGGCGTGCATGAGGAGTGCTATGGGATCGAGCCCTTCCCGGGGTCTCCAGGTAGAGGCGCTGGTGCTGCTGGTGCTGGCGCTGGTGCCGGTGCTGACGCTGATGCTGTTGCTGCTGCGGGAAAACCCTCGCTTTCCTCTGCTGCATTCGGCATGTCGTGGCTCTGCCGGTGCTGCGCCCTCTCCACTATCCCCACCTCTGATCCCAGCAATCCCAGCAATCCCAGCAACCGCATGGCTGCTGGTGCAAAGACAGAGGCTGACACAGACGCACTCACAGCAGCAGGTGGCAAAGGCAAACGCAAGGGCAAGGGCAAGAGCAAAAGCTCTGATACCATGGCGATAGTGAGTTCGGGTAACACAGGAGTGGGAGGGGGATCCGTTGCAGGGCTGGGCAGAGGAAGAGGCGGGGGCACAGGAGCAACCAGAGCAGGGGAGGAAAAGCAGCAGGGGGATGAGGAAGAAGATGAGGAGATTAGGAGGGAGTGCTGTCTATGTCCTGTGCGAGGAGGGGCTTTAAAGCCCACGACTATCAGGCTTGCCCTGCCAGAGAACAGCAGAAGCAAGGGCGAGACGCCCGCGAGAAGAGCAGCAGCAGTTGGTGGTGGTACTGCTGCTGCTGCAGCCGCTGCTGCCGCCGCCGCCGCTGCTGCGGCCGCTGCAGCAGTGGCTGGGGGGAGGGGTGGGCGGGGCGCCGCGTTTGGGGCAGTGGGGCGGGGGGCGGGGTTTGGAACAGGGGGAGGAGGGGCTGGAGGAGGAGCGGGGGCGGGAGGGGGAGGGGGTGGTGGTGAAGGGGGGGTGGCGCGGCAGAGGTGGGCTCATCTGGTCTGTGGGTTGTGGATGCCGGGTGTGAGTGTATTGGGAGAGGGCGAGGGAGAGGTGCTGGACGGCATTCAGCTCGTGGATCCAGAGCGGTTCAAGCTGGTGAGAAACGGTCACGGCTGGTGAGAAGTGGTGTCCGTCTGTTTCTGCTTTCAGGGTGCCTGGTGGTTGTTCCTGTACACCACTGCACCGCACCGCACCCCTTGTGATTCTCTGGTAATTCCCCGCATTGCCATACCATTCCCCGGGCCACAGGGGCACGTCCCATACCACGTGTTGTGTGCTGTGGCGTGCCATATATGCAGGGTGGATAACGGATTTAGAAGCGCCTGGTACGGTGCACACACCCCTTTCCCCGACACCCCTTCTTCCCCACACCCCTTCCCCCTCAGGCATGCTGCATCTGCCGCCAGCCCTACGGCGCGTGCATTCAGTGCGACGGCCCGCGGTGCCTGGTGGCACACCACGTGGGGGGGCCATGCCAGGCCATGAATGCCCGGCGGATGTCTGGTGCTGTGCCTTATTTCCCAATCCCCCTCCACTGTCCACCCCTCCCCCCCAGGCATGCTGCATATGCCGTCAGCCCTATGGCGCGTGCATTCAGTGCGACGGGCCGCGGTGTCTGGTGGCATACCACGTGGTGTGTGCGATGAAGGCGGGGTGGATCATGGACGTGTTGCCTGATGACACCGGCCAGCTGCTGCGCTGCACCTTCTGCCCCAAACACAGGTATGGCAGTGTGCTGCAGGGTTGAAGGGTTTAGGGTTTAGGTCACAAGGCACCGGGCAGGACAGGTTGTCTGGTGGCATACCACGTGGTGTGTGCCATGAAGGCGGGGTGGATCATGGACGTGTTGCCTGATGACACCGGCCAGCTGCTGCGCTGCACCTTCTGCCCCGAACACAGGTATGGCAGTGTGCTGCAGGGTTTAAGGGTTTAGGGTTTAGGTCACAAGGCACCGGGCAGGACAGGGTGTCTGGTGGCATACCACATGGTGTGTGCCATGAAGGCGGGGTGGATCATGGACGTGTTGCCTGATGACACCGGCCAGCTGCTGCGCTGCACCTTCTGCCCCAAACACAGGTATGGCAGTGTGCTGCAGGGTTTAAGGGTTTAGGGTTTAGGTTACAACGTACAAGGCACATGGCAGGCGTACCACGTGGTGTGTGCCATGAAGGCGGGGTGGATCATGGACGTGTTGCCTGATGACACCGGCCAGCTGCTCAGATGCACCTTCTGCCCCAAACACAGGTATGTATGGTATTTTTTTATTTTTCTTTTTTCTTTTTGTCACTCGTTCTCTTTTTTTTTGTCACTCTTTATTTTATTTTTCTTTTTAGGTCGTGACTCTTGAGACATCTCGGGTTTTGTGACTTCACACGACTCAAAACCAGCTGCTCCGATGCACAATTTGCCCGAAGCACAAGTATGCCACTGTGCAGGCTTGTGTTCTCTCAGGCCCCTTTTCCTCCCTTCCACCCCCTCCCGCCCCTCCTTTCCTCTACCTCCCAAACCCCGCATTGTTCCACATAGATCCGAATCCTGACCTTGCAGTGACTGGCCTAGCAGCCCTGGCGCCTGAGAATTCTCCAAACTGACACAAGCACCCTGAAATTTTCCTGTTATTCTGAAACCCTGTGTGAAAGAAGTGTGGTTTTGTGACGTTACAAAATCACACTCCTTTCAAGCAGCCCTGGCATCTGAGAATTCTCAAAACTGACACAAGCACCCAAAATTCCCCTGTTATTCCGAAACCCCCCCTGCTACCCCGCCATCCGCAGGGATCCGAATCCTGACCTTGCTGTGATTGGCCCAGCAGCCCTGGCAGCCGGCAAGCGGCTGATAGAGCAAGGAGGGAGGCTGAGGAAGCGCACTGGCATCACAGGATTCCCTGCCATAGGGGCGGGCACTCTCAAGAGTGACTCTCTCAGGCCTCTTTCCCTTCCTGTCACCCCCTCCCGCCCCCACCTTCCCCCCCTCTCCCCACTTCCCAAACTCCCCAACTCTTTCGCAGGGATCCGAATCCTGACCTTGCTGTGATTGGCCCAGCAGCCCTGGCAGCCGGCAAGCGGCTGATAGGGCGAGGAGGGAGGCTGAGGAAGCGCACTGGCATCACTGGGTTCCCTGCCATAGGGGCGGGCACTCTCAAGAGTGACTCTCTCAGGCCTCTTTCCCTTCCTGTCACCCCCTCCCGCCCCCACCTTCCCCCCCTCTCCCCACTTCCCAAACTCCCCAACTCTTTCGCAGGGATCCGAATCCTGACCTTGCTGTGATTGGCCCAGCAGCCCTGGCAGCCGGCAAGCGGCTGATAGGGCGAGGAGGGAGGCTGAGGAAGCGCACTGGCATCACTGGGTTCCCTGCCATAGGGGCGGGCACTCTCAAGAGCGACTCTCTCAGGCCTCTTTCCCTCCCTTGTACCCCCTCCCCTCCCTCTCCCGCCCCCTTCTTCCCCCAACTGTGCACTGTTCCGCAGGGACCCGAATCCTGACCTTGCTGTGATTGGCCCTGCTGCCCTGGCGGCCGGGAAGCGGTTGATTGAGCGAGGGGGGAGGCTGAGGAAGCGCACTGGCATCACTGGGTTCCCTGCTATAGGGGCGGGCACTCTCAAGAGTGACTCCCTCAAACCGGATGGGGAGAAGGACAGAGAGGGCAAGGAGGGCAGGGAGAGCAGGGAGGGGAGAGAGGGGAGAGAGGGCAGGGAGGGGCGAGGGGAGGGGAAGAGAGGGGGTTTGGAGAAGGGGAAAGGGAGGGGGAGAGGGGGTGAGTTGGAGGGGGAGGAATGGGGCGAGGAGGAGAGGGGTGAGAAAGTCAAGCGGCGGAGGGAGAGTGGAAGGACGAAGGGAACAAGAGGTGGTGATGGTGGTGAGAATGGTGTTGATTCGAACGCGAGTAGTGATGTGATATTAATGGGTGAGGAGGAAGGAGAGAGAGATGAGGAGGAGGTGAGAGCTGCGGATGAAATGGGAGGGGGGCAGGATAGTGCAGAGGCAAGAGGGGGGGAGGTTGGAGAAGGGACGAGAAAGGGGCAGAAGGGTGGTGGAGAGGCGAGAAGGGAGGAGCTTGGGGGAACCCTGTACGAGCTTCAAAGAGGGAGGAAGAGAGGCCTAGGGGAGGGTGATGATGGGAACGATGCTGCTGCTGATGATGGTGGTGGTGCTGTCCAAGTAAAGGAGGAAGAGGAGAAGGAGGGGGGGCAGGAGGGGGAGCAGGAGGGGGAGGAGGAAGAAGAGGACGAGGGGTCTAAGAGCGATGTGATGCTGCTTCCCAGTCCAGAATCATCTGAAGGTGATACTATTACTCATGCAGGGGCGAGGGGAGCTAGGCCTGCAGGGGAGCGGGCGGGGACAGCAGCAGCAGGAGGGGGAAGAAGAGGAGGAGGAGGTGGGGATGAGATGGATGGTGTGTTGTCCCGCTGTCAGCCATACCAAGGGCGTAACAGCCGGATGCGATGGCGAGGAGGGGAGCGGAGGGCAGATGGAAGGATGGAGAGCGAAGGACAGGAGGAAACAGGGGGTACGGCGGAGGGCGGAGTGGAGGGGAGTCGTGTTTTGAGTCGACTCAAAACACGAAGGACGGAGAGCGCAGGACTGGAGGAACCAGGGGGTATGGCGGAGGGCGGAGCGGAGGGGAAGAGGGAGGAGGGGCTGGAGAGGAGCGGGGAGGAGGGGGAGGTGGGAGCGAGTGAGCGAGTGCGGAGGGTGTGGGGGCGTGGGCACAAGGAGGTGGTGCCGTATCTGCTTGGGGGGGTGTGCTGGCACGACAGGGAGACCATCATGGAGCTGCGGGTGAGTGCGGTGCTGAGGGGTGCTGAGGGGTGCTGAGGAATGTGGTGTTGAATGCTACTGCGGTGGTAAGGGCTGCTGTTTTGGTAAGAGTAAGCCTGATATTTTTGCACCTCTCTAATGGATCTCTTCTCCATCTACCTTTCCCACTCACAAACACCGTCCGCTGTTTGCCATGTTTTCCTCTCCTCGTGCTTGTCACCCCTCAGCACCCAGAGGAACCGCTTGTGGCCACATCGCGAGCCGAGCGGATGAAAGTCGTGCGGGTGAGAGACACACAGGGGATGGGTAAGGTGCATGGTGGAAGGTGGAAGGTGGAAGGGGCACCGGGCACGGGGCACGGGGCACGGGGCACGGGACAAGGGTGGATAGATGCAGTGAATGGCAATTGGGTGGGAACAACAGGTCCCTCCATAGAAGAGTCGTTGCTGGGCGCCCCCCCACCCACCCCTCCATAAGAGAGTCGTTGCTGGGCGCCCCCCCACCCACCCCTCCATAACAGAGTCGTTGCTGGGCGCCCCCCCACCCACCCCTCCATAAGAGAGTCGTTGCTGGGCGCCCCCCCACCCACCCCTCCATAAGAGAGTCGTTGCTGGGCGCCCCCCCACCCACCCCTCCATAAGAGAGTCGTTGCTGGGCGCCCCCCCACCCACCCCTCCATAAGAGAGTCGTTGCTGGGCGGCCCCCCACCCACCCCTCCATAAGAGAGTCGTTGCTGGGCGCCCCCCCACCCACCCCTCCATAAGAGAGTCGTTGCTGGGCGCCCCCCCACCCACCCCTCCATAAGAGAGTCGTTGCTGGGCGCCCCCCCACCCACCCCTCCATAAGAGAGTCGTTGCTGGGCGCCCCCCCACCCATCCCTCCATAAGAGAGTCGTTGCTGGGCGCCCCCCCACCCACCCCTCCATAAGAGAGTCGTTGCTGGGCGCCCCCCCACCCACCCCTCCATAAGAGAGTCGTTGCTGGGCGCCCCCCCACCCACCCCTCCATAAGAGAGTCGTTGCTGAGCCCCACCCCCCCTTGAGTCGTTGAGCGTTCTGTCCACCTTGACTCCCCTTGACTTCCATTGCTGAAGTCTGAATACGTACGCGTCTGTGCTTCTTATCTTCTCGGCTCTCCTCTGCCCCCTTGCAGGCGACTGCGTGGCAGAGAGTCACGTTTGGGCAGTCAGCTATCCACGACTGAGGGCTGGTGGCGAGGCGAGACACAAGCTAGCGTCGCAACCCCCTTGTCACCTTGCCTCCCCTTGCCCTTTCTTGCCTCGCCTGTGTCTCTGTACTTCTCTGCTCGGCTCTGCCCCCTTGCAGGCTACGGTGTGGCAGCGAGTCACGTTTGGGCGGTCAGCCATCCACGACTGGGGGCTGGTGGCGAGGCGAGACATTGAGGAGGGCGAGATGGTGAGTGCGAGGGTATGGGTGTGAGTGAGTGTGTGTCTGTGTGCCTACTCGTTACTGCCATCCACGACTGGGGGCTGGTGGCGAGGCGAGACATTGAGGAGGGCGAGATGGTGAGTGCGAGGGTATGGGTGTGAGTGAGTGTGTGTCTGTGTGCCTACTCGTTACTGCCATCCACGACTGGGGGCTGGTGGCGAGGCGAGACATTGAGGAGGGCGAGATGGTGAGTGCGAGGGTATGGGTGTGAGTGAGTGTGTGTCTGTGTGCCTACTCGTTACTGCCATCCACGACTGGGGGCTGGTGGCGAGGCGAGACATTGAGGAGGGCGAGATGGTGAGTGCGAGGGTATGGGTGTGAGTGAGTGTGTGTCTGTGTGCCTACTCGTTACTGCCATCCACGACTGGGGGCTGGTGGCGAGGCGAGACATTGAGGAGGGCGAGATGGTGAGTGCGAGGGTATGGGTGTGAGTGAGTGTGTGTCTGTGTGCCTACTCGTTACTGCCATCCACGACTGGGGGCTGGTGGCGAGGCGAGACATTGAGGAGGGCGAGATGGTGAGTGCGAGGGTATGGGTGTGAGTGAGTGTGTGTCTGTGTGCCTACTCGTTACTGCCATCCACGACTGGGGGCTGGTGGCGAGGCGAGACATTGAGGAGGGCGAGATGGTGAGTGCGAGGGTATGGGTGTGAGTGAGTGTGTGTCTGTGTGCCTACTCGTTACTGCCATCCACGACTGGGGGCTGGTGGCGAGGCGAGACATTGAGGAGGGCGAGATGGTGAGTGCGAGGGTATGGGTGTGAGTGAGTGTGTGTCTGTGTGCCTACTCGTTACTGCCATCCACGACTGGGGGCTGGTGGCGAGGCGAGACATTGAGGAGGGCGAGATGGTGAGTGCGAGGGTATGGGTGTGAGTGAGTGTGTGTCTGTGTGCCTACTCGTTACTGCCATCCACGACTGGGGGCTGGTGGCGAGGCGAGACATTGAGGAGGGCGAGATGGTGAGTGCGAGGGTATGGGTGTGAGTGAGTGTGTGTCTGTGTGCCTACTCGTTACTGCCATCCACGACTGGGGGCTGGTGGCGAGGCGAGACATTGAGGAGGGCGAGATGGTGAGTGCGAGGGTATGGGTGTGAGTGAGTGTGTGTCTGTGTGCCTACTCGTTACTGCCATCCACGACTGGGGGCTGGTGGCGAGGCGAGACATTGAGGAGGGCGAGATGGTGAGTGCGAGGGTATGGGTGTGAGTGAGTGTGTGTCTGTGTGCCTACTCGTTACTGCCATCCACGACTGGGGGCTGGTGGCGAGGCGAGACATTGAGGAGGGCGAGATGGTGAGTGCGAGGGTATGGGTGTGAGTGAGTGTGTGTCTGTGTGCCTACTCGTTACTGCCATCCACGACTGGGGGCTGGTGGCGAGGCGAGACATTGAGGAGGGCGAGATGGTAAGTGCGAGTGTGTGGGTGTGTGAGGTTGGGTGTACGGGTGTGTGAGGGTGTGTGCTTCTGGTGTCTCATGGCCGTCCGTACTCGTTGTGGCCATCCATGACTGGGGGCTGGTGGCGAGGCAAGACATTGAGGAGTGCGAGATGGTGGGTGGGATTGTGTGGGTGTGAGTGAGTGTGTGTGAAGGGGTGTGTGTGTGTGTGTGCTTGTGGTGTATCATCATTGTACTTGTAATTGCCATCCACGAATGGGGGCTGGTGGCGAGGCGAGACATTGAGGAGGGCGAGATGGTGAGTGCGAGGGTATGGGTGTGAGTGAGTGTGTGTCTGTGTGCCTACTCGTTACTGCCATCCACGACTGGGGGCTGGTGGCGAGGCGAGACATTGAGGAGGGCGAGATGGTGAGTGCGAGGGTATGGGTGTGAGTGAGTGTGTGTCTGTGTGCCTACTCGTTACTGCCATCCACGACTGGGGGCTGGTGGCGAGGCGAGACATTGAGGAGGGCGAGATGGTGAGTGCGAGGGTATGGGTGTGAGTGAGTGTGTGTCTGTGTGCCTACTCGTTACTGCCATCCACGACTGGGGGCTGGTGGCGAGGCGAGACATTGAGGAGGGCGAGATGGTGAGTGCGAGGGTATGGGTGTGAGTGAGTGTGTGTCTGTGTGCCTACTCGTTACTGCCATCCACGACTGGGGGCTGGTGGCGAGGCGAGACATTGAGGAGGGCGAGATGGTAAGTGCGAGTGTGTGGGTGTGTGAGGTTGGGTGTACGGGTGTGTGAGGGTGTGTGCTTCTGGTGTCTCATGGCCGTCCGTACTCGTTGTGGCCATCCATGACTGGGGGCTGGTGGCGAGGCAAGACATTGAGGAGTGCGAGATGGTGGGTGGGATTGTGTGGGTGTGAGTGAGTGTGTGTGAAGGGGTGTGTGTGTGTGTGTGCTTGTGGTGTATCATCATTGTACTTGTAATTGCCATCCACGAATGGGGGCTGGTGGCGAGGCGAGACATTGAGGAGGGCGAGATGGTGAGTGCGAGGGTATGGGTGTGAGTGAGTGTGTGTCTGTGTGCCTACTCGTTACTGCCATCCACGACTGGGGGCTGGTGGCGAGGCGAGACATTGAGGAGGGCGAGATGGTGAGTGCGAGGGTATGGGTGTGAGTGAGTGTGTGTCTGTGTGCCTACTCGTTACTGCCATCCACGACTGGGGGCTGGTGGCGAGGCGAGACATTGAGGAGGGCGAGATGGTGAGTGCGAGGGTATGGGTGTGAGTGAGTGTGTGTCTGTGTGCCTACTCGTTACTGCCATCCACGACTGGGGGCTGGTGGCGAGGCGAGACATTGAGGAGGGCGAGATGGTGAGTGCGAGGGTATGGGTGTGAGTGAGTGTGTGTCTGTGTGCCTACTCGTTACTGCCATCCACGACTGGGGGCTGGTGGCGAGGCGAGACATTGAGGAGGGCGAGATGGTGAGTGCGAGGGTATGGGTGTGAGTGAGTGTGTGTCTGTGTGCCTACTCGTTACTGCCATCCACGACTGGGGGCTGGTGGCGAGGCGAGACATTGAGGAGGGCGAGATGGTGAGTGCGAGGGTATGGGTGTGAGTGAGTGTGTGTCTGTGTGCCTACTCGTTACTGCCATCCACGACTGGGGGCTGGTGGCGAGGCGAGACATTGAGGAGGGCGAGATGGTGAGTGCGAGGGTATGGGTGTGAGTGAGTGTGTGTCTGTGTGCCTACTCGTTACTGCCATCCACGACTGGGGGCTGGTGGCGAGGCGAGACATTGAGGAGGGCGAGATGGTGAGTGCGAGGGTATGGGTGTGAGTGAGTGTGTGTCTGTGTGCCTACTCGTTACTGCCATCCACGACTGGGGGCTGGTGGCGAGGCGAGACATTGAGGAGGGCGAGATGGTGAGTGCGAGGGTATGGGTGTGAGTGAGTGTGTGTCTGTGTGCCTACTCGTTACTGCCATCCACGACTGGGGGCTGGTGGCGAGGCGAGACATTGAGGAGGGCGAGATGGTGAGTGCGAGGGTATGGGTGTGAGTGAGTGTGTGTCTGTGTGCCTACTCGTTACTGCCATCCACGACTGGGGGCTGGTGGCGAGGCGAGACATTGAGGAGGGCGAGATGGTAAGTGCGAGTGTGTGGGTGTGTGAGGTTGGGTGTACGGGTGTGTGAGGGTGTGTGCTTCTGGTGTCTCATGGCCGTCCGTACTCGTTGTGGCCATCCATGACTGGGGGCTGGTGGCGAGGCAAGACATTGAGGAGTGCGAGATGGTGGGTGGGATTGTGTGGGTGTGAGTGAGTGTGTGTGAAGGGGTGTGTGTGTGTGTGTGCTTGTGGTGTATCATCATTGTACTTGTAATTGCCATCCACGAATGGGGGCTGGTGGCGCGGAGAGGCATTGAGGAGGGCGAGATGGTGGGTGCCAGTGTGTGGGTGGGTGTGGGTGGGTGGGTGTGGGTGGGTGTGGGCAGTCATGTATGCAGTCTTCAGGCACCAACCATCACGTGGGCAATCCCTCACTCTTCCCATTCCAGGGAGTTAATGAGAATTCTCAAAAACTCCCTGCAACGTTGTGGGCGGTCACTTTTGCAGTCTTCAGGCACCAACCGTCACGTGGGCAATCCCTCACTGTTCCCATTGTGACTGTATCAGGTGGTGGACTATCGAGGGGAGGCGTTGAGGCGGAGTGTGGCAGAGCTGAGGGAGAAGCGATACCGAGACAGAGGGGAGCTGTGCTATGTAAGTATAACGAGGTGTGCTATGTTAGTATAACAAGGTGTGCTATGTGAGTATAACGAGGTGTGCTATGTGAGTATAACGAGGTGTGCTATGTGAGTATAACGAGGTGTGCTATGTGAGTATAACGAGGTGTGCTATGTGAGTATAACGACGTGTGCTATGTGAGTATAACGAGGTGTGCTATGTGAGTATAACGAGGTGTGCTATGTGAGTATAACGACGTGTGCTATGTGAGTGTAACGACGTGTGCTATGTGAGTATAACGACGTGTGCTATGTGAGTGTAACGACGTGTGCTATGTGAGTAGAATAGGATGGCAATCACTAGGTGCATGTGAGGCGGGTGCATGCAAGGCAAGTGCTCTTGGCATACTGTCCCTGTGATGTGTCATCCTTGGCGCCCTATCTGTCATCCTTTTATGTGATGTGAGACATGCTGTGCTGTCATGTTGCCTTTGCCACTCAACCAGATTCTCGCCAATCCCACGCGATGTGATGTTTCCTCCATGCTATTCTGCCCCATGCCATGCTGCTGTGTGTTGTGGTTGTGGTGCGCTGCTGTTCAAGGTGGACGAGGAGAGAATGGTTGATGCCACCATGGCTCTCACAGCTCTAGCAAAAAAATGTTAAATCCTCTCAACTTCCATGTCATGTGGCCCCCAATTGTGACCCGCAGCTGTTCAAGGTGGACGAGGAGCGAGTGGTGGATGCCACCATGGCTAGCAACTATGCCAGAATGATGAACCACTCCGTACGTACCTTACTGAACCACTCTGTATCATGCCCAACCACTCTGAACCATACTGAACCACTCTGTACATGCCATGCCATGTACTGCGCAATGCATGCCCATCGAATATGCTTCTGTTGCTGCAATGTTTTAATTTACAGTCACTCGCTCATGCTGTTCCGCAGGAGCTCATGCTTCGTTTTCTTTTCTTTTCTTTTTCCATCCTTTGTCTTAAACCCCTCCTCTCCCTCCGCGTCCCGCATCCCCTTCATCAGTGCAACCCCAACTGCTTCGCCAAGATCTTTGACGTAGAGGACAAGAATGGCCACCCGAGTGCAATCATCGTCATCATTGCTCGCCGCCCGATTCGCATGGGGGAGGAGCTAACGTGAGTGTACTGATGCATGTGCTTCCACAGACCACCACCCGAGCCTTAGATGCTGATGCGCCTCACACTCGCATACGTGTTTATACTTTCACTCATGCACATGCACATGCACATGCACATGCACGTGCACCTACACATACGCGCGCACATCCATCCACCCCTGCCAACCCCCTCTGTCCACCCCTGCTCTTCCCCATGCAGCTACGACTACCGGTTTGATCGAGAGGAGAAGGACCGAGTGCCATGCCGCTGTGGTGCCACCACCTGTCGCTCCTTCATGAACTGACTCTTGAGACGTCTCAAAACTGAGGTGCCGCCACCTGTCGCTAATGTGCCCCTGAGGTGCCGCCACCTGTCGCTCGTTCATGAACTGACTCGCTCGGAGCTTTCAAACCCAGCTAACACTCACACACACACACACACACACACACACACACACACACACACACACACACACACAGCATCCTGTGCTGGCTCGTGCCGCTGATGGCATATGGCTCATGCCAGATGGCTGACACTAACATGTGGAGGTTCGACGCACACTCACTGACAGAAGCTGACACGGCAGCTGATTGTTCATTCTTGACACTAACAAGACTGCTGGCGCTACAAAAACTGACAAAACTGATGCATGCACAAGGCAATTCTGACTATGCTCACATAGGCTTTAGGTTAAACTGGTTTGCTGCTATGCATACGGTTTTGTGTTGGATCACTTGTACAGAATGCACTGCTGATTTTATACAATCCATATGACCAACCCAAATTCGCTTTGGCCACTGCATGAACTCATATACAATATCAGGTGTACATAGTCCTCCTTACTGTCCGTACAACAGAACTGCTAGTTTATCAGAGATTATGTACAAATTATGTGCAGTGGAGGAAAACACTGTAGGGGGCTACATTCGCGAGCTTCGCGACGAACCTGGCGAGGCAACATCAACAATTTCTACTCCTCCAGTCATCGCCTGGAAGGCAAGCGACAGGGAGGACTCGAGGAGGGCTGTGGAAGAAGGTAGGAATGCGACGCTGCGACGACGACTAGTCAAACCTACCACACTTCCGTCGCTGACATGGATTGGGGAGGGGAGCGATTCAGGGAAGGCCGGTGAAACACGCAGGTGGGGGAATGAGCCAGAGCAGCAGGCGAATGGCGTCGCACCGCACGTTCGCAACTCCTTCACTCCACCAGTTCGCCCTGTTCCAGTATCAGGCACTTTCCATCAGGGGGGCGTTTCTGCGACAATTACCTCTCAAAGGTGGGTGTCGCAGGAGGAAGTCGCGTTCAGCAGCAGCGTCGTCGTACTTTCGCAAAGTCGCATTTTGTCCCATTTGCTTTCGATTTATCCACCGACCATCCTCCCCAATTCTCCCCAATACCCAATTCTATTGCGGAATCATCTCTGTAGGGTGAGCATTCGCTGAGCCTGGCTCGTCTGACCGGGAAACTATCATATTGGGGCCGAACATTAGCAGGGAGGTGACCAAATTAGGGCCGGATAGCCGAGCCTGGAATTTTGGAGCTAATAACCGACCTTTCCATGATCGCATATGCGATTTCACTTGTCAAAGGTTCTGACCACCCCGCGCGTCGTAACTGATGGAGAGGAGACTTTTCCTTTTATGTCGAAATAACTCAGTATTTTCCACTCGTTTGCGCTACCAAGCACTAAACGACGCTACCGGGAACTGTTAAGGCAGGGCAGGAAAACTAAAACCCATAGGGAACCTGGACGCAGTTTTTGGAGGCTGGTTAGGTAAAGTGATGTATTTTTTTCGGAAAACAATCATGTACTTCTGTTCTAAATAATATAAACACGACGAAACCACCCTTAGAGGAATACGACGCGAGTTTCGTATTAGGCGGCGATCTTAATATAAAACAAAACATTGAACCGTTAAAGTCGAGATTTAATAATTTCCGTTAAATCCTGGTTCGGCACCTCGGCCCAGCCGCCTGGGCAGCCCCGGGGATATATCCAACGGTTGGGATTAACCCGGCCCTAATTTGGTCACTTACCTGCTAATGTTCGGCCCCAGTTTGATCTTTTCCCCGTCTGACCCGTTGCATGAGGAGAAGAGTGTCGCATGCTGTCGCCGTGAGGCTCATCCAGAGGCTCTCGCGCGTGTTTTCACTCGCATGTGTTTCGTTCCCGCCCGTTCGTGCGCCCGCGCGGAAACGTGCTCTGGCCCGTTCGTTCGTTCGTTGATGGCTCGAGTGACACCTCTCACGGAAGCTGCGGCGTGCCTTCCTTGCACCGCCGTGGTTTCCGCTGACCATTCCTCGCTACCTCCACGCTCGACTGCGTCCTACTATCAAGCAAAGCAGCAACAGTACCATACTGCTAGGTCGACAGGATAGTAGGCCTATAAATCCACCCCATTCCTCTCTAAGCACATCACATCCCTAGCCTTCTCTAACGTCTGACTCGCCTTCAAGTTCAACAATCGCCCGTACTGTTCTCGACCGAAGTCGAGTTACACTAGCTAGCCCCTTTGTCATCGCAACTTTGCATCTCATCCGTCCAACGATAACGACGATGGCGTCTCTTCGCCACCTTCTCGCCGCGTCGCTGCTGGCTCTCCTCGTCGTCGCCTGTAAGCACCGCCTCGATATCCGTTATAAGGACATGCTCGCGCTGCAGCGTCCAGAATTGGTGTTTCGGATGCCTCTAACGATGTTCCCCCTCGTCCCCGAATACCGCAACAGGCGCCGCTCACGGCGGCGGCGGCGGCGGGCGCGGGGGTGGCGGAGGACGCGGCTTCGAAGGCGGACGCGGTGGTGGAGGCGGCGGATTTGGCGGCGGGTTTGGCGGCGGGTTTGGCGGCGGACGGCGCAATGGCACGGGACGTCTGGGCACCCGCGTGGGTGAGTCAGACTCGAAAGCTTCATTCTCCGTCTCGTTGGTTGGTCCTAACTTGTTAGCATGCACTGCTGCACAGCACAGCACAGGGACGGCCGTGAGTGGGGAGGGATCAATGCTCTCCTGTCGCTCGCCAACCCTCGCCTCCTTCCACCATAACCCCTCCTGTTGCATATTTCCCCTGCTCCTCATCTCTCCTGTGGCTCATCTCGCCAGGAGCGGTGGTGGCGAGGCTGAACGGCACGGAGATCGCCAGCGCTGCTGGGGATGTCAATGCCACGGGCGTCATCTCCCTCGCCGTCTTCCAGTAAGCACCTCTACGCATTGCCAATCACTCTCTTATTCCTATCAGTCCTTCCACCTCATCGTTACTCTCCTTGCTTTCCTCGTTCTCTTCCCGTGAGCCCCTCCTCTTACCGCCAACCACCGCCTCAGTCCCCGCCTTCCCCGGCCTCATTCCCTCCTGCTGCATGCCACCCACCCCTGGCAGGAGTGGCACCCCACACCACACCCATCCCCTCCTCCATTGTACCCCCCTTTCCCTGCCCCACCCACCCACCTCTGGCTGGCAGGAGTGGCAGCGACTACAACATTCGCTACGGTGCCAGCATCCGCCTGACCGCCCCCGGGGCGCCCCTCTCCATCGCCATCAGCACCGGCGCTGCCGGCTCGGCTGACAGCGGCGCTGCCCTTCTCGAGTTCTCCGCCACCGAAGCAGCGTGGGCCAACATGACTTGGAACGGCACCCGCAGGGACTCCCGCGGCCGCAAGCACGCCGCCCCTGTTCCGAAATACTTTGGATTTTTCCGCCCAGCCCTTCGCACCGGTTATGTTTATGGGTTCTCTGGCGTGTGGTATAATGCGACTCAGTACAGTAACGCGGACGGGCAAAGCTATTTCGAGGTGGCGAATCTGCTCTTGGCGAATCCGAGTGGGTACTTTGGGATTGTGAAGACTGAAGCGTTTGCCGATGGAGCTGCCCGCGGTCAGTTTGCAAATTTCACCCGCCCGACCCCCGACACGTTCTGGCAGCGCAGCTAGAGGTAGTTTGGTGGCCGTAAGAGGGAATTTCGATCAGAAATCACCCTAGCTCTTGTTTGGATGGCCTGAAGGGAAGGTGCAGGAGTGGCAGCAGGTTGGCTGTAGACCGCCAGGAAGACACGTAGCTCTTGCACATTCTGTAATGATTCAGAGTGGAATGAAGCATGGCAGATTGAAATGTGAGGTCTGCAAATTCTGTGAGCCCTTGTCCTTATGTACAATGTACATGCCTTGTGGCCTGGCTGGACATTCTCAGAACAGAGTTGTCAGATATTGCCTTTAATGCCTTGTTAGGCTCAATTCCACTCCCTGAAGTTCCCATTCTCTCGTTGTTAGGTTCATTTCCCCAAAGTTCTGGTGAAGGTCAAGGATCTGGGATGGTGAATCGCAAGGAAAGTGATTTTCGGTGCTGAAAAATGCCTCTTCCAATCCAATCACAACCATGCACGAGACAAGCATGGATCGCACGCAGTGGCAGGCAGACACACAAGAACGGTACTATGCAACGACATGGAGAGCAAGTCTAGCTCTGCAGCAGAGTGACTGTCTCACGCACCGTTGCTGCAACGTATCGTAGCAGCCACGAGTGTTGGAGACAGCCTGCACCACAGACAGCAAGCACCAGACTTGATCTCCATGCCCTGCGCTTGAAACTCCTACTAACTCCAGAGTCGTCACCCCACTTCCTCCATTCCCCTGTTCTAAACTCCTCCGCTGATTTAACAGAACTACCTTTTGACATTTATCATATCTCCAGCCTCTCCATCCTCCGCACGCCTCGCTTTTGAACGCTGCAGCCTACCCGCGCATACCGCCACGCATACCGCCGCGCATGCCTCCGCCGCGGCCCCCGGCCTGGCGGGTGTGGTTGGCGAAGGCTCCCCCAACGACGCCGTCGGCGAAGGCGTCGGTGGTAACCACGCCGAAGAAGCTGCTGGGCGCGGCGAGCATGTCGACTGCCACCACGTCCGCGTAGCTGCGACCCGCGCCGTTGGTGATCGTGCTCGCGTTGTACCAAACACCGGAGAAGCCATAAGCGAATCCGGCGCGCGGGCCCCCGCGCCCGCCGCGCCCGCCGAAGAAGGAACCCCCTGCAGTGGAGTTGAGATTCGGGAAGAACTGCGCCAACACCTGCATGACCGCCTTCAGCACCGCGCCGCGCCCAGCGCTGCCGCCCTGCGCTCCCTGACCGGACTGTCCGCCGAAGCGGGTGCGGTTCCAGGTGTAATTCTGCCACGCGGCCTCGGTAGCGGAGAACTCGATAACGGGGGAGCCGCCGGCGCCGGGGGCGGCGGAGTTGATGGAGATGGAGGTGGGGAGGCCGGCGTCGGTCACGCGCACGCCGGCCTGGTAGAGAATGTTGTAGTCGGTGTCGGTTTTCAGCACCACCAGCGCGATCACCCCCGTCGCGTTCGCGTCGCCCACGGCCGCGTCGCTTGCGTCGAGCACCTGCGATCCGTTCATGAAGGCTCTCAGAGCGCCTGCGCGGGGAGGGGGGGTGGAGGGGCGGGGAGAGGGGGGGGAGGGGACGAAGATAGATGGGGAAAAGAGGGTCGATGATGATGGGGAGAGAAGGGCTGCGACTCCAATGGAGAGCATATACTCAAGTGTCACGGATCCATTCTGCGACTCCAATGAAGCTCATCTGGACCGTCGTACAGATCAGCACTGTACGGAACGAAAAAAATGCGCTTACCAACCGGAGTGCCGAGTTTGCCGCTGATGACGTCACGCCACACGCCGAATCCGCCGCCTCCAAAGCTACCTCCGGGTCGAGCGGCACCTGCGGATACGCACAGACAGATATTAGCTTTTATAAATACTGATAACTGGATTTTTTTCATAAACGATCAGCATGCTGCCTTGGAGAGACATTGCAGAGCAACTCACATGAAAGCATAAGTGCTGCGAACAGAGATGCCACGAAAAGACTTCTCAAAGCCATGGTTGGGTCGTCAGGTTGGGCTGGAGAGCGACGAGGAACCGAGGTCGTGAGGTATAAAAAGGGATGAATGAATGATTGTGGTGGGTCGAATGGGGACAGGAATTCGTGCAACTGTCTGGTGATGTGAATGTGGAAAACAGGAGAGGGATTTATGGAATGTCGGAATTCCTGAATGCGCCTCGTCAAGACCGAAGCGCTTGAAAGCATCACCGAATAGCGAATTCTGCGACGGGTGACGCTAGACGACGAGAAGCCTAGTTCGGTTTGGATTGTTTCGTAGGAAGGTTACCAGCAGGCGAAACGACCGAATCAACGAGTAGGATCACCGCGACTTTCAGGAGGTGAGTCGCTAGAAGGGATTTCGGTTCCGCGTCTCACTGAGATGACAGGCCGGAGAAATTTCTGTTGATAATGTTTGCCAATTAGACAAGCCAAAGGTTCATTACAATGTGATATAAAGCCGAATTTCATTACAGTGTTATATATCTTTCACTGTTCGCATGAACTGCTCAGCCTGCCCTGTTGCATACACTACCAGCTTCTTCCCATTATAAGCATCGCAGTCGTTTACAGAGCCTTGCAAATGGCAATTTTGGTGACAAGCAACCTTCAATAGTTTCAGCAAATTGCATCATGCAAGATACAAACGTAAGAGTGCCATCGTTACATATTCTGTCAACTGAACCTGCTGTGGCTCAGTGCTAAGGTCCGGGCTTTATTGATCAGCACTATTGATGCATCAACATCACTCATCGTCCGCAACAGCTACAGTGGTTTGTGCCCCCTCATTTCCAGGAAAACGCGCTCTGAGAGCAGATATGTGTGACTGAGGAAGAGGTCCCCTTGCCAGCAGCAAGTGAGTCGTGTCATTCACCCTCCCTACCCTCCACCCACCACTCCCTCCATCACCACCACCACCACCACCACTGCCGCTGCTGCTTGCGCCACGTGGCATTCGGCTATTGGCTCCCGGGGAGTACGTCAGGAGAGTGAGGGAGGAAACTGCAATGTCGAATCTATGGGTGAAATGGGGGCTTGACCCTATCAGGCCCTTCAAGAGGCATTTGATTGCAGTGGAGTGGGAGAAGATGCCAATGCGATACGGTTGGATGGGAGGAGCGTTGGGCGGCATGGAGCGGCATTTAGCTAAAAGTGTGGAGGAGCGGGAGACTGCAAGACGATTGAAAAACTCAACCATTCGAAATTCAACCTGGAAGCAGTTGGAGGGTGGGAGGGGCGGGGAAAAAAAGGGGTGTGGGGCATTGGGCAGAGGGGGTAATGGTCGGGTCATAGATGCATCCAAAGGTCATTATGAATGCAATGGCATCATGATAACAGCAGAATATCCTACTTCGGTTTTCAGAACAATGGCTGAGACACTTATTGACTGAGCTGCTGGAACTCAACCCAACCACAATACAAAGGAAAGATTTGGAAACCGCAGCCAGTGTCGCAAAAACCAAAGCTCGATCTCACCAACAGAAAAAAAGGGACGATTCGATTCACCTGCCGCTGTGACTCCCCTCCCGGGCAGAAAAAATCCGGCTGGGCGCTTGTGATTCGTGGGAGAGAGACGTCCGTGGGGAACACATCTGCCCGATTCTTCCCCTCCCACTGTCCGCAGCTCTGCTCCTTCAATTCCTCTGCCTCTTGCATTCGGCTGGGTGGAAAGCCAAGCTCCTGTACGGGGCGCAGGGGGTGCAGAGGGGGCATGGGATGGGACGAGCACTGGAGTCTGGAGGTGCTATTGCCACTTCTTGCCCTCCCACTGCCCGCAGCTCTGCTCCTTCAACTCCTCTGCCTCTTGCATTCGGCTGGGTGGAAAGCCAAGCTCCTGTACGGGGCGCAGGGGGTGGGGGGGGGGGGGGGCAGGGGGGGCATGGGAAGAGCAATGGCGTTTGGAGATGCTATTAAGCTGGCTACTGAGTTGACTACTAAGTTGGCTTCCAAAAAGCTTTCAAAATAAAAACACGTTCCCTTCCCCCTTGCGACGCTCGTTGCTCCTACTGCATCTAACACCAGTGGCAGGTGGTAACCCTATGCCACACAACTGGTAACCCTACGCTACACACCTGGCACGTGGCATAAGCAGTTTCCCACGCCCGGGGGATGGGCGACGCAAGCACCTCATCGAACATTACCCCCTGGAACTCCACCAGGTATCGCGCTAGCGCCCCCCCCTGCAAACTCCAGCAGGTAGTAACCCTATGCTATGCACCTGGTAACCCTACGCTATGCACCTGGTAACCCTGTGATGCGCACCTGGCACGTGGCATAAGCAGTCTCCCACGCCCGGGGGATGGGCGAGGCAAACACCTCATCGAACATCAACCCCTGGAACTCCACCAGGTATCGCCCTAAAGCCTCCCCCTGCTCCCGGCCCTTGCTGGTGAGCGGTATTGCGGGTGACTGCCCTCCTATTAGGTGCGGCAGGTCTAACGACTCTGCATGGCTGGAAGGGGGGGCGGTGGGTGTGCAAGGGAGGGGACAAAGGCTTGAAGCAGGTATCGCCCTAACACCTCCCCCTGCTCCCTGCCCTTGCTGGTGAGCGGTATTGCGGGTGACTGCCCCCCCACCAGATGGGGCAGGTCCAGCGACTCTGCATGGCTGGGAGAGGAAGGGGGTCAGACGGATGGGGAGAGATCGAGAGCGAGGATATAAAGACTCTCCCACGCAGCCTGCTCCCTGCCCTTGCTGGTGAGCGGTATGGCGGGTGACTGCCCCCCCACCAGATGGGGAAGATCAAAGGATTCCGCATGGCTGGGGGTTGGGGTGGGGGGTGGTGCAAGGGAGGGGACAAAGGCATGAAGCAGGTTTCGCCCTAACGCCTCTCCTTGCTCCCTGCCCTTGCTGGTGAGTGGTATTGCGGGTGACTGCCCGCCCACCAGATGGGGAAGGTCTAGCGACTCTGCATGGCTGGGGAGGGAGTGGGACGGACCAATGGGAGAGTGAGAGGAAGAGAAAGCGAGAGAGAGGGGTGTGGGGGGGGGGGGCAGTCACCCGCAATACCGCATGGCAGAACCCGCATGACCGAACCCTCCCAACACCCACTCACCGCACGACATAGAACTCAATGCAGACCTCCTCAGAACGGCACTGAGCATCGGGAGGCGCCAGCACCCACCACGGGTACTGCTGCACCGAGCCTGCACCACCACCCCATGCCATTGCTCCACCTGCTCCTGCAATCCCTACTCCTGCCCCCATCCCTAACCCTGCCCCTGCCCCTGCCCCTGCCCCTACACTCCCACCGCCCCCTGCTATTACCACGGGATCCGTCATCCCCAACCCCCTAGGGGACGCGGCACTAGACCCGCCTATGCTACCACTGCCACTGCTAGCAATAGCGCCACCACTCACCACACCACCAACCCCACCCATAACCCCACCACCAGCCCAGGTCGGATTACCACCAGTCCCACCAATAAACCCACCACCACTAAGCCCACCACTAACCCCACCAAAAGTCCCACCACCAGCGACAGCACTAGCGCCACCACTCCCCCAACTAGGACCACTAAGACCACTACCACCGCCGCCGCCGCCGCCACTGCCCCCGCTTCCAAAGGAGCCTCGGCCCCTCCTGTGGAAGGACGCAAGGCCAGGACTGGTGCCCGCAGCGTTCGCCGCAGCGTTAGCTGCAGCAGAAGGACGGAACTGATGGGGACTGGGAGGAGGAAGAGAGTAACGCGGACTGCTGACAGCAGGAGCAGCTGCAGAGGCAGAGCCATTTCTGGAAAGAGTGCCAATTCCTCCTTCCAGCCCCGTGGCTCCTCCCAGTCCTATGCCTCCTACACTCCCACCACCACCACCCAACCTGCCACCGGCGCTGCCGGTGCTACCCACGCTATCACCCCGGGCCATCTTAGCCATAATCGCAGCCACCTGAGCTGCCCGCTGCTCCCTCATCCCCTCCTCCCTCCTCCTTCTCTCCTCCTCGCCTCCACTCTCACTCTCCCCCTCCTCCTCCTCCTCCTCCTCCTCGTCAGAATCTTCCTCCGAATCTTCATCACTGATTTCCAGGACAGCGTATGTGTTTTCGTCGTCTGGAGCGTCGTGAGGAGAAGCAGTGGCGGCGGTAGCAGCAGCAGAAGCAGCAGCAGCAGCTGCAGAGGCTACGGCAGTGGCTTCTCGAGCAACAGTGGAGATAGACGCTCCTAGCTCCGCCAGAATGCTGAACCCTATTCCTAGAACCCCGCCCTGCTCGCTTGACCCAGCAGCAGCAGCAGCAGGAGCACTACTGCCACCTGCATCACCACCAGTGGCAGTAGTGCTGCCAGCACCGCCAGCACTAGCAGCAGCATTAGCAGCAGCGCCATCACCAGAAACAGCAACAGCATTAGCAACAGCGCTACCAACCCCACTAGCTGCAGCACTGCGATGAGCACCAGCAGCAGGAGCGGCAGAAGATAGAGTTGAGTTATCAGCAGCAACAGGCTCGGAGGACGAACCATAAGCAGGCTGGAACGGTCGAGTCAAAGGGGCACCCGAACCTGGACCTCCAGCCCACGCCACCGGCCTTCCTCCCGAGCCTAATCTCGGGCCTGGAGCCATGGTAACACCAGCAAGGATCCCCGTACCTGCACCCCTGCCTCGGCCCAAACTTCCTGGCCTTCCAGGCCTTGCTCCGGCTGCCGAAGCTGAGGTGGAGGCTTGGCTGCCGAAGCTGTCTGAGTCGGGGAAATCCATGGCTGAAAGCTCGTAGGTGCTGACACTGCTGCCGGTAGGGGAAAGTGTGCCAGGGGTACCGAATCCCGAGTCTCCTGACCCATATTCTTCCTCCTCCTCCTCGTCCTCATTCTCCTTTTCCTCCTCTTTTACAATACTCTTCGCTTCCTCCCCTTCTCCTTTTTCCCCCTCCCTCCCCTTGTCGTTACCCTCCCCGTCCTTCTCTCTCCCATCCCCATCATCTCCCCTACTTCCCTCCTCCTTCTCATCGTTTCTTTCCTCTAATTTACTCGCTCCCATTCCTTCGTCCACTTGTTTAGACTCCTCCCTCTCCTCCCTCACATTCCTCTCCTCGCTCACCTCCCCGTCACTGCCAACACCACTCCCAACACTACCAACATTACTCTCAGCACCACCACCAACCGCACCACTATTATGTGCAGATCCATTTGAATCCCTGCTCTCAGCACGTGCTTTCTCTCCCATGGCCACCTCTCCCTCCCAGTCCTTCTTGCCTTCCTCATTTCCACCCTCGATCCTGTCCACTTTACAAGCATCTCCGCTATCCGCCCCAAGTTTCCCAACGGACTTTTCCAGTCTCGTGCTTTCTGAACCGTCGGATCCAGTCGCTCTGTTCACCTCCTCTTCCTCCTCCTCCCCCTTCCCCCTCCCCTCCCCTTCATCCTCGGTGGTATCAGATTCGTCTAGCCCCTCTGAACTTCGACTCTCCTCCTCACCATCACCATCACCATCACTATCACTATTCGCCTTCGTTCCAACCAAACCACCAAACTCATCATTTGAACTCCCTTCCTTTTCAGGGTTACTGATACTCGTACCACCACCGCCGCCACTGCCACCACCGCTGCCACCACTGACGCTGCCGCTGCCACTGCCACCGCCGCTGCCGCTACTACTACTAGATGACTTGGTTACACTATTCACCCCTCCTGGCTCCACCCCTCGTACCTCCGCTCCATCACTCCTCTCCTCTGTTACTCTCCTTCCCTCTCCTTCTCCTTCCTTCCTGCTGTCTCCTGCCCGCCCGTCCCATCCCCCAGCCCCTCCCACCCCTCCTGCACCTCTCGCCTCCCCCTCTCCTTCCTTCTTGCTGCCTCCTGCCCGCCCGTCCCATCCCGCAGCCGCGCCCACCCCTCCTGCACCTCTCCCCTCCCCCTCTCCTTCCTTCTTGCTGCCTCCTGCCCGTCCGTCCCATCCCGCAGCCGCGCCCACCCCTCCTGCACCACTCCCCTCCCCCTCTCCACGGGTCCTAGTAGGAGGAGATGGGGGGGCATTCGCAATGGCGTTAGCAGCAGCAACAGCAGCTATGGTAGACGGGGAGAGAATGGCAGCAGGACCGTACTCCACCCCTCCCATACCCCCCATACCTCCCAGGACCCCTGCATTCCCCACTCCACCCCATCCAACCCCCTTTCTATCTTCTCTACCTTGCACCATCACCTCCGCCTCTCCCCCTTCTCTTCCCGCCTCCTCCTCTCCTCTGACCATCTCAAACTCTCTCTTCTCATCCCCCACCATGGGACCTGCTGACGTGGATGCTGAGATGGGCATGGCCACGTCAACACCAATAATATTACTCCGCAAGTTAGCTGCACCAATAGAAGGGCTGGAGGAGCCTGGGCCCATCGACACGGGTAGCTCCTCCTGGCCTCCGTCCGAACCTAGACGTGGAGGTTCGGCCCGAACCGTGCCTGCATCTGCACCGGTTGGGTCCCATCTATCAACAATGCCAGACCAAGCCGGAACCCCTGCCCCGTATTCCCCATATGTTTCAGGCAAATGTGTAGTCTGTCCAGCTACAAACGGAGCAGCTTCTATCGCGTCTGAAATTCCTCCACTGTTTTCTTCCGGAAACGAGCTCCCTGGTGGTTGGTCGAGGGTGTACTCGTTATACTCAGCTCCGATTTCGCGAGGGTCCCACTGACCGCCGAAATGTTCTCTTAATTCTGCCGGCACGCCTTCTACACCCCCGTATGCTTCCATTCCGTGTCGTAAATACGCCTCGTTTCCATACTGCTGCTGGAGAAATTGCTGCTGTTGGTATTGCTGCTGCTGGAATTGCTGCTGATCGTACGGCTGCTCCTGCTGCCCGTATTGCTGCTGCTGCAGTAGCAGCTGCTGTTGCCTCTGCATTTCGCGAAAATACTTCTCTCTTCGCCGCCTTTCCCGCCGCTCTTGGCGGTCGTCATCGTCGTCGGAATCGGACGGAACCAACACGGACTCCACTCCACCCATTCTGTTAGTTTCCGAACCTCGGACCAGCACGGACCAGCACGGACCAGCACTACAGCTCGTCCCGAAGAAGAAGAATCTACAAGGATGATGTTAATCGGTGGAATTGGACGGAACCAACACGGACTCCACTCCACCCATTCTGTTAGTTTCCGAACTACGGACCCGCACTGTCAGCTCGCCCCGAAGTCGACACCAAAGCAGCAGACTTTACAAGAAATTACAATAAAAGAGGCCTTTATTTCGGACGGCTTTAATGGTCGGATTGGACGGAGGCAGCACGGACTTCGCTCCTCGTCTTCGGTGAAAATAACACCACAGCAGCGAATTTCTAGAGGTCAATTGCAGTACCAGGTTTCACAGTGTGGGCTCGTCAGCGGATCGCTGGACGTGACTTGGGAGTGCCACTTAGAAACCTTCCCCAGCAGGACTAATTAGTGATTATTCTTGTGATCTTGGCCTGATATGACAAGTACTTGTAATGTCAGCCGTTGTGCTGGGTTTCTGTGTGGGCCGTAGGCGTATTGGGGTGGCGGTGGTGGTGTGAAATAAAGGTCAACTGACACCCACCCTCCCCACTTTGATTGCCGTTCCGACATTTGCGCGAGAAAAGAGGCCCTTGGGCTTGGTTGGTTGGGTTCGGTTGGGTGCTGGTTCCACCAACTGCACAAATGGTCAACTCTTTCGACTGTAGAGTCCATCGCTACTGCTATTATACCTGCCACTACTTGACTACATCTAATTGTACTATAGATGCACGTGATTGTGTTTTGCATTTTCTTGGGTTGACATTAGGCAGATAGCACGGTATAAGCCTTCCAGCAGGTAAACGAGGATTCAGGAAAATATAGGCAATCAATATACATCCCTGGTTGCATGTTCTTATTGTTTGTACATTCTAACCAGAACAGCTTTTTATTACCAGTAATCTACAGTGCCGCTTCGTGGCCAGCACGGCCCTCCTATCCCATCTAGAAAAGAGGGGCTGCATCTAGACTAGAGGTAAGCTGTGGCGCAGTAGACTAGAGATAAGCTGCGGTGTAAGTTGACAGTAACTTAAAACGGTATGGCTACCACGTTGCAGTCACAGGGCAGGAGCCTTCTGCAGGGATGGGTGTTGATCGTCTGGCAGCTAGCAGGTTTATTAGTAGAGTAAGCAGGGAGTGCGTTCGCACGGAAATCTTGCACCAGCTGGAAGCGCTCTGTTTCTCTCAAGCCTTGGCAGCAACCGCATGGCTGGCGTTGTCTGGAGCCCCTTGGGAATCTGATAAAATCAATAAGCAGATCACAAGAAAGAAGGGGAAGAAAATCAGAAAGGGCTCCTTTCATCTCCAGTTTCACCACTCGGGACCTTGATTTTGCAATTAAAATGCAGCTACCTTGATTTAGTGACAGGCAGTGGTGTTTGGAAGGTCCCATTTAGTCAGCCCTCTCCACTGGTTCATTTCCGCAAATGCACATGGCAAATCACATGAAAAAGAACCAGCAGACAGCAGCGCTCACCTTTCTTCCAGAGCACGGAGGGCCGTGGGGCGTCATTCTTGGCGAGGTAGAGCCCACACGCGTTGCACAGGTGCTGCCCACTCCCCGACCGATCCTTCCTCCAGAACGGAGTTGTGTGCGTCCCACAATTCCTGCACGCCTTCTCCTTCTCTCTCTCCTTCTCCCTCTCCGTTCCATTCTCCTTTCCACTCTCCTCCTCCCGCTCCTTGCTACAGCCACCCTCTCCCTCTATCGCTCCACTCTTGCCATCCATTCTGAGAGACACTGGGTCCTCCACCGCATTGCAACCCACTCCAACGTGCTTTTGCCTCTTTTTTCTCTTCCCCTGCACATCCATGCTCCCGGCCGCTGCGCCCTCTACCTTCCCAAGCCTCCTCTTTTCCCCCACCACTCCTGCACCAGCCTCAGCAGCAACCGTTCCCCCAGGGTTCAGAAAGCCGAACACTCCAGCAGCAGCACCGCCAGCACCAGCGCCAGCAGCAGCACCACCAGCAGCAGCAGCTACCGCAGCAGCTGCAGTCCAGGGGAAATTGGGATACTGACCCATAGTGCAGGCATACGCTCTGGCTTGATCGGCAGCAGCAGACTGGAAGCTGGGGATAGGGCCGATAGCTGGGAGGATGTGAAGGGGGGTCGAAAAATGGCTCATATGACTAACTGCGTTAATTGCGGTGGCTGCGTTGACTGTATTGACTGCGTTGACCGGGCCCGCCTGGCCCCTTGGTTGCTGCGCTGCTGGCCGAATTGGCTGTCCGTCCGCCTTGACTATTTGAAGACCCTCCGTGCCCTGGCTGCACGGCTTCAACGCGAATGGGACGGCCCGGCGGGATGAAGCGCATGCTTCCACAGCAGCAGAGCACGTTGTCGTGGCGCCATTGGACGAGAGCAGAGCTGACGTGTCATTCGACCCAGAGCTCCTGCTCGCAGCCTTCCACGGGCGAAATCCCGACGGTAGACGCTCACGTGGTAACACCTCCACTGGCTTCGTCGCCAATTTCGCCGACGGGCTTCGCTTGACAGAAGCCTTCGTCACCATGGAAGAAGACGCGCGATTGCAAGCACCCCCGCAAGAGAGAGAAGGCTTGCTGGCAGCCATTAGGCTCTTATTAATTTCCATGTTGACATCCGAAGCGGCACCACCAGGGGCTGGTAGGGCAGGACGCGCCGTGGAAAGGAAGGGAGTCGGACCAAAGCAGAACCACGGCGGCGCATTGGGAAACCAAGGCCTCTGTTGCATCCCCATCGCCTGCTGCTGCGCTTGACCGGTCGCGGTTGAATGGGCGAGCAGCATGTGAGAGGGGAAGGCGGCGAAAGGAGCCCACCAGCCGGCCGCAGCTGCCGCGGGGTAGGGAGGAATGTGGCCGAAAGGGACAGGTGCTGCCGCTGGCGCGGGGAAGTGAGGAAAGGGTGCCGTGACGGAAGGAGCTGCCTTGGCTTCTGTTGTTGTGGCGTCGGGAACAGGAGCGAGAGATGGTTGCGGCTTGATTGTCTTGGTGTGAGGAAGCTTCCAGTGTGAAGACACGTCAGCCGAGACTTTTGCCGATTCAGCAGAGGGAGAAATATGATCGTCGTCTTCGCTTTGGGCTGACGTGGCGCAAGGCGGGCTGAGGCTCAAGCCGATTAGCGGAGAGGGATCATCCTTGTATGAGAGAGCGGTAACGTGAGAAGACTCTGGTGAGGATGAAGGCGAAAGGGAGGGACACTGAGGCGTGGTGGGGAAGAACTGGAACGGCGAAACGGGGCTGCATTTAACGCTCTTCTTAGTAACTGCGTCCATTTTCCCGAGACGTGGTGTGATGGGATGGATGTAAGTTGCTTGGGTGTGGTTACCTGCACTCCACATGTAATCAAGCTTCTGCCGTTCGTCCTTAGGATGGAAACCGCGAGATAAGGCAGAATCAAGCTCAGTCATGAAACCAGTTGTGCGTACGAGGATAAGCTTCTAACAATGAAACAGGTAAGCTGACGTCGTACAGAGAAGGCGATTGCTGTAGGCAATGGAAAACCAAACTCACTTCCCGCAAGGATGAATTGTGCCTCAGGAGACAAAAGAGGACCTGTGACGTGCCAGAAAGTAGAAACTCTAAAAACGATTTGCAGAAGTGAGAAATGAGGAGGCGATCAGTTGGTGATCAACTTTCTACTGTTGGCTGGAGCAGCATCCAGAAAGGGTAAAGCCCACACACGAAGCACGGGCGTGATGTGAAGCAAAGTGAAGATGGGATGACTGTGACAATGACAGCGCAAAAGCAACTCCAAGGGGGATGACGCAATCATCTTCCCGCCTGTCTTTGAGGGAGAAAATCTCGATGCGTTTCGCCACGTCTGCTGAATCCGCGTGTGTAGTGCGGCCGTCAATGCCTGGGAGAGCGCCACGCCAGCTAGGTTCCCAAGGTACGCGTGGTACGCGTGGCAGGCGCTGCGATCGGGCCGACCAACGATCAAGCAACGTAATCGTCAGTGGTCCCGCAAGTGACCCCCTTTCGATTCGTGCTCCGTCCCCACTCGAAATCTGATCCAGTTTAACTGGTAAATTTGAATACGCGCCCAATAGCTGTTCGAAGCTGATCTGGCAAAATCCACGTAGAAGAGGGTCCACGTTGGCAGCTGAATGAAAGCATTCATCAAGGCCCTGCCGCCGCCCTTGGAGTTGAATCATGCCTCGCCGTTTCTTCCACAAAACCTTGCACGCGTGGGACAAAAAGCAACCATCTTGTGGACCTGCTTCGTTCCCGAATCGCTTGACGAATAGGACGAAAGATCTTCTGCTGACCAGGATTTTAAATGGCTCGTGTTTCTCGAAACCGAAGTGGGTGGAAGGATCGATGTGATGCCCAGTCCGGTAATGAATCTGGCTTGTAACAGCCCCCATCTGACGTGTGCTTTTGGAACTCAATGTGGCGCCACGTTTCTCCGCCACATGAATACCAGCAGCAGAGAAAGCAGATGGATTGATCAAGCAACGTTCATGCAACCCCAATGTACCGTCAGCTCCACCTTATCGCGATGACGTGGATTTTCCTCGAGTTTGAAGACCCTCATTATGGAAAGCTGGAGATAGTGAGATGACAGTGCTGTCAAGGTACATAATATAAACATTGAGTTGTCTATAATGAGTTGTGTACAGAATATTCACTAAACAAAACAGGACTGAAGTTCCAATACAAAAGGCTAACGGCGGTTTGGCTGGTTGTCAGCCCAAGGAAGGAAGTTGGAGAATTGACTAATGAGGGAAACTTGTGAGACCACATCCCTCGCCCCCCTAATTGCATTCTTCGTGCTGCTAGCTGCGGAAGCAATCACTGGAGTGACCGAGGGAACAGGCACCACTGCTCGCTCCTCAATCATCGCTGTAATGGCAAAGAGAAGAAAACAGGAGAAAATTAGGCAAAACTGGAGGCAGTCAGGAACCGAATCAAGGAAGAGATAAAAACTTCCTAATCATGCATGTCAGAAAACTGCTGAAAATCAGAACTAGCCACGATCAATGTTCAAAACTACTCACCCTCGAAACCTCTGGAGTAACTCCTACCTGCTGTGCGTGCAGCTGCCAGACTGCCAACTCTCCGCAACCCATCCTCGGCAAGTCGCACTGCACGAGCGGAATTCCTGATCCCTTGCGATATCTCCTGGCTGCATTCACAAAAATGACAAATTTGGGTCGTTCAGGGAACCACAAAATACCTAGTGGTACCTAAGAACAACCCAGATACATCCATTAAGAAAATGCGTACACACATCTCAGTCCACTTGAACAGAGAAAAGGCCACCTTAAAGCACCTGAGAGTCCCACGGTCTCAGCCTGTGGAAATCTCAGGTGCTTTCAGGTGGCTTCACATCTCATCTCAGCCCCCTGCGCTTACCTGAGGTCATTCAGCTCCATGCTCAGGTCGCTCACATCACATCCCTCGCACCTCCTCTTTCCAGCTGTCACCTCCGTCATCGGCCTGGTGCTTCCTCCCTCTACCTGCCCTTCCCATGCGCTCACCTGAGGTCGCTCAACTCCATGCCAGACAGCCGCACAGCTGCCATCGTCCCTGGCACCTCCTCCTTATCGTCGTCGTTTCCCTCTACCTGATCTGACGCTCACCTGAGATCGCTCAGCTCCATGCTCAGGTCGCTCATCTCCATGCCTGACAGCCGCACAGCCATCATTGTCCGCGGCACCTCCCTCCTCCCTCTAACTGTCGCCTCCTCCACCTAACTGTCCGCTCCTCCCTCTACCTGGTACTCCTTCATCGGGCGCTCACCTGAGGTCACTCAGCTCCATGCTCAGGTCGCTCATCTCCATGCCTGACAGCCGCACCGCTGCCATCGTCCCTGGCACCTCCTCCCTCGCCACCTCTGCTAACCGCTCCAACGCCTGTGCTGCCTTGCGGATGGCCTGTGGGATCCGACGGAAGAGGGGGGAAGAGGGATGAGGGGGATGAGAAAGGGAGAGAGGGGAGAGTCTGAACAAGGAACACACACGTCCCCGGCACCTCCTCCCGTGCCACCTCTGCTAGCCGCTCCAACGCATGTGCTGCCTTGCGGATGGCCCAGGGAAAAACAATTGGGAGGGAATGGGGGAACGGGCGGGAGGGTTGGAAGGGGGAAATGACATGGTAAGAAGAAAAATGATATTGCCATCCATTAAAGACGCTAACCCTAACACACAGTACGTGTTCATGCCGTTCTCAGTGTATGTACTCACCAGAAGGGCAGGCACGGCGGCGACGAGCATGACAGAGAGCGCCGCTGTGATCTGCACGGAACCAACGGGTGCTGCACTATGTGCTACAGTATGTGCAAATGGGTGCTGCATCCCGTGCTCAGTATGTACTCACCAGAAGGGCAGGCACGGCGGCGACGAGCATGACAGAGAGCGCTGCTGTGATCTGCATGGAACCGCGATACCGGGGAGGGGACAGGGCAGAGGGGAGGGGGGGAAAATGAAGGACGGATCTTGGGGCGTGTGGGGTTTGCGGCGTGCACATAACAAGCCCGCATACAGTAAGCGAAACCCACATCCCGAGCCTCCACTCTGAACATGTGCACACCGAGCCTGCCCTTCAGCTCCGGACGTACCGAGCATGCCACGAAGCCGAGGCACAGCACAGGAAAGTCGACCGGCACTCCTTCCGCCCCGATTCTGATTGGCGGAGCCGCTGAGATCGACGCCATGTGTTGCGACGCAGTTGGTCGCGACGCTGACGTGGCTGGCGGGTAACCACCATGCGAAACGGGTTCAGCGTGGCGGTTCGACGAGGACGATATTTGTCCGACGGACGCGAAGGCTCCAGGATTGGTGTTGGTGTTGGTGTTGGTGTTTGCGAAAGTCGCGTGGTTAGTGTTGACAGAATGGCTGTCGGTGGCAAAGGCTGAAGGGTTAGTGTTGCTGTGGAAAGAAGTTGACGGTGAGTTGTTGACAGTCGGCGGAGGCGAGATGCCGGAGGAGGTTTGATGTTGGAGGAAAGCGACGGCGATTGGACTGCGACGGTTTGGGTTTCGCCGGGTGCCGTGGGAGAAGGAAGCGACGCGTGCGAAGGAGTCAAACGACGGTTGGCGAAGACGAGACGAATCGAACCCGCTCGATTTCAAATGCAACGACGGACATCGAAGCGAGACCTGCGCATGGCCGGTACGAGTCAACGGACGGCTACTCTGACACAATGCTGCTGCTGTTGTTGCACATCGGTCTGCTAAGAACGACGATATGACAGTACCCTGCATGGATCCAAGAGATTTTGCTGTGGGAACGGAAACAGTTTGGAGGGGCACAGCCATGGCTACTGATTCCAAAAAGCGCGTTGATTAGTCAGCAACAGACGCGAGCGTACGCGTAGGCCACAGCGTGCCGACACGCGCTGGCGAGAAACGAGCAATGATAGGATCCTTTGTGAGTGTAGCGGTTGTTCGGCTACAAACGCTTCGCGTGTCCAAATAGATCGGAAGGACGGACCTCCAATGCTTGTGATGGGTTAAAATAGATCGCACTGCTCAGATCGAAGGAGCCCTTATTTCGACTTTGCAACTTTAGGGTCGGGCATGCAAGTCGCTTCAGCAAGCACCACCTCCTACATCCGCAGCAAACCTAGATTCCCTATAATAAAAAAAGGCCAATGAAGCGGAAAGGTGCAATCTAAGTAAAATTATCGAATAGAAGCAGGGAAACCACCAGACTCGAACCAATCCTTGATTCCCCTACTAATCAGAAACCTATTCCAGAATGGGATGGAATACAGAAACCTGTAGGCTCCCAACAAGTGCAGCAGCACAAGCAACTCATCCAACGGAAACAAGTGACTCCCAGTCACAGAGGACGATGGAATCGACGGAATTGGTGGAGCGCATTTCGTTCGTTTGACAAGCTCCGAAGTTCGAAGCGGGTCTGTTTCAAGTGAGCAGTTGCCGGAGACTCTGGCAATCGTCTGAAACTTGGTTTGGCAGTTAGCATGCAACTTATCAGCAAATACCCCCTAGTAGCGGATCTCCTCCATCCCCAAACACAGCAGCGGGGTGAGCGGAGTGACACTGGATGCGCTGGCAAGTGCCCCCGAGCGTGTCAGCAGACTTGATTCCAGCGCTCTAGATTCCAAGGCGGCCAACGTAAGCCAACCACGTCCACGCTAAATGAAGAAGCTTATGTCAGCAGCACGAGAACCACGAGGGAGGAGATTCAACAAGAGAATATCCTGGCACTGTACAATCTAATATCAGTATGTCTTCGTTTTAAGACAGCACCACATTCTATCGAACCATTCATAACATATTTCATATGAAAAACATTTGACGCAACCCTTCCGACTCTCCTTTGTAAGGAACTGATCAAGGTCAGAAAACGGGCCGGGAAGGACTTGCCGGCGCGGCAAATTCGTGACAGTCCCTCGCCTATCCAGAATCCAGATTCTCGATGCCATATGCCTGCAGAACGGGGCTCTCTTGTCAGGGTGGGTCATATTCATTCGTTTAAATGCGGCTCAATGAGATGCTTCACGTTTTACAGCGGTCCATTCAGTAATTACATTGGTCGGGATGGGTATTGCGCAGACACGGAACGAATATTTCCCGCCCTCTTTCTCTCAATACCGCACTCGCAGTAAGTCCTATGCTGCGACGACTTCACGTCCAGTGATCGCAACGCACGAGATTTTTCCTGGCGACATTTTCCACATATAACTAGATCTGACTCGCTCTTACCATTTTCTGGTGTCCTACTTTGTCAGTCCTTGCAGATCGCAAGTTCGCATCAACCATGGCCAACCCCCATGTGTTCTTCGATATTACCATCGGCGGCAGAGATGCTGGCCGCATCGAGATGGAAGTAAGCACCTTTGCCGTAGCGCACAGCTACTATGTGACCATAATTATCGTCACTGCCATGTCCATTTTGTTAAGCACCCGCTACCATGTGCGTGCTTTTCGCCATGTGACTGATTTTCGTCCTTAAAACCATGGTGCACATTCAACGCGGTTCGGCTTGAGATGTTGGGAAGGGGGTTTGGAGAAAAACAGTGATTGGCTCACGAGGGGCGACAAAAAAATGATTCCGCTAGAGCTTCGGGCATTTCGTAGGTGGCGGGAGGGGGTGAAATGGCGGGAGTGGGTGAAACCGAATGGCGGGAGGGATGAAACAGATTGGCGGGAGGGGGGGGGAACGAAATTGCGGGGGAGGGGGGAAACAAAATTGCGGGGGAGGGGGGAAACGAATTTCGACGGGGAGGGGGAAATGAAATTGCGGGGGCGTGGGGAAACGAAATTGCGGGGGAGGGGGGAAACGAATTTCGACTTGAAGGGGTTGAAAGCACACCTCGTAACCCACTCAGTCAAGGGATAACCTTTGATGCACATTCAGCTGAATGTGCACCCCGGTTTTAACGACTAATTTCGGAAATTGTTTGTATCAATTATTGATATGCAGCTCTTTGCTGACACCACACCCCTAACTGCTGAGAACTTCCGTTGCCTCTGCACTGGTACGTCTATCTTTACAGTCACGTTATCGAGTTTCTCCATCCTTTGAAGCCCAATAACATACCAAGCGTGTTTTGGTACGTCGTGTTACAGGGGAGAAGGGTACGGGCAAATCCGGTAAGCCCCTTTCCTTCAAGGGGTCGGCTTTCCACCGTGTAATTCCCGGGTTCATGTGCCAGGTATGCACACCTACATTCCTTCAGTGCTTTTTATTCCATAAAACGTATGTGCGCATTGCTTATTTCAGTCCACATATGCCGTCCTCTGTCTGGTCAATTGATTCCGAATCTACGGTTTCATTTCAGGGTGGTGACTTCACCCGCGGCAACGGTACTGGCGGTGAAAGCATTTACGGAACCAAGTTCGCCGATGAGAATTTTAAGAAGAAGCACACTGGCGCTGGTGTGCTCTCTATGGCTAATTCCGGGCCAAACACTAACGGATCTCAGGTACGGTACCTTCTCATGCCTTCACGCTGACGCATTCCTCCTGGGGCCTGCTTTTATTGTCCCTTTTATTACTGTTTTGTGTCTCACGTTCTTTCCCATCTTGTTTCCCGCAGTTTTTCCTGTGCACTGCGAAGACGGGCTGGCTGGACGGCAAGCATGTGGTGTTCGGGCAAGTCTCGAATGGCATGGATATAGTGAGGGCGATTGAGGAAGTTGGCTCCGAGTCGGTGAGACTTCTCTCCTCCACCCTCTTTCTCATTTCTCTACACGTTCTCATGTGACATGCACTCGCATATGTCCCCACTTTCATGTGCTCGATTTTTTCCCCATTGTGCCCTTCTAGATCTGTGTCTTCGCGACCAATGCTCGTGAGCTCTGTTGAACCGGTTTCCTCTGTTTGTCTGCCCTCGTCCTCCACATTTTCTTCTCATATGTTCTGCTACCAGGGTAAAGTCAGCAGTCCTGTGGTCATTGCTGACTGCGGTGAGATTTAGGTTTGCCTCAATGGTGTAAAGTAAGAAGCGGCTGCCATTGTGATTGGATGCGTGTTGTGTTACTAATCCTGTTAAATGGGAATGTGATACTCCTTTACGCCCTAGATGAAGCGTGTGTGAGTGAGAAGGAGCACCACTCTGATCTGATCTCTCAAAGGGGTAGGTATCACGCCAACTCATTGGTATGAACAGTGATTGTATGGTACAGTATATTCATCCACCATAGGACAGCACAGAGAAGCAAAGCAGCGCTCCGGAGCAGTGGCAAAATCCATGGAGTTTACATGGAGTTTCAATTTACGGTGGGGTTTTGATAGTTTGGGTTACATCAAGAAGGGTTTGGTTCTGCTCTTGTCTTTAGGAGAGTCCGGACGAAGCCATTTCAGGATGTTCCACTCCCTAAAGCATGTTGGGGAATATCATGTTTTTCTTGGATCGGATGGCACCAATACGGTACTTTAGATTGCTCATTGGCACACACATAACGTAGTTCCAGGAAGAATGAAAAGCAGTGACAAACTGAGTTGGAAAGGGCATGGCTAAAACTCTTGCTGCACAACCTGAGCTAAAAGTTTATCCACCACACGATATCAGCCAACTACGTCAAGTTCACTACCGTCCTGACATCCTAAAATGATGGCTATATACGGGTAGTCTGCAAGGAGCCTAACCACTCGACTATTCGCAGAACCGTGGCTTGGTAACATGCTGGAAGTACGTAAGAGCCGACAATGACGGACGTTGAACCCACCGCACGCGGTCAAAGACCAGGCCAGCGTGTTATTTGCTCGATGTTAATGTGTTAGTACCTACGTACCTATGTCACCTAGGAGAACAGACCAAACTCCCTGTAACATCATTGCATGGCGCAGGCATCCACATAGCTGCATTCGTGTGATTCGTCCATGTCGCATTTCCCGTCACTGCAGGGAGAAAGGGGCAGACAACGTTGGAGTACAAAAATGCGATTAGAAAATGAAGTCGTGTGTCTAGGAATCTTTCCGCGGCGGGATTTAAAGACTCATCAGAGTCCTCGAAAAGAATAAGTATAGCTCGTTAGGTCGAGACCGTAATGTCACACTGATGGGAGCGCCGAATTCTGTAGCGGACTGGAGTGTGAGCCGTACCTTGGGTCGTACTCTCGCACTGATGTGAGCGCCAAGCCAAGCTCATCTCGCCATCGCAGCTTCCTCAGCCGAGGGCTCTTTGCGCGAGGCTCCCCTTCCAGCGATGCTGCTGCAGCTACTGCTGCTCTCGCAATCAACAC